TTACTTGTTTACCCCTTTGGGCAATTTTTCATACCATGAGGACCCTCTCAGTCAAAAGTATTGATGATTTCCAAAAGTGGAACGTACAATAATTGATTATAAGATAAAGGCTACTTTACTTATTCTTTTAAATTGAGCATTTAATACTTATAATTTTATTGACTGTGACACCATCCTGGAAAAAATATCATCGATGCTGCTGCCATCAACACCTTTGTTTATAGAGCAGGGGTAACCAATTAATCAGCGGGGCCTAATTATAATCTATTACTTTAAACATTATTTAACACTGAAATAAAAAGCAAGTTTTAGGTATCCATGTTATAAATTGATTTTTAAAATAAGGAGATATAAAAAAAAAAGAACATATTTCCATTTTAAAATCTAAATTGTTTTTCGAAGTAGAGAACAACAATCGTTCAGTTTGGTATATAGACAATTTCCTGATTCACGTATTTTATAAAACACATGAACTGACTATTATTTTCTCTTTCTTTTTTCTGTCTTACTGAGAGCAGTGGGCTTTATTCTGCCCTGCAAGGCTTTAAACCTGAGTTTGAATGCAGACTAAGCCATTCTAAAGTACATATCAAGGTGCTTATTATGAGCCTGGATCCATATTAATTTTTAATTATATTCATGGTGGAGAATCCTGCTTCACAGCAGTAGGTTGAGCCAAACATACTCTAAATGTGCAGGGTCATCTTTGAGCACGCCATTTCACTTTTCTGTCACCAGTTCCTTGCAGTTCTTCCAGCAGTCCACACTTTCTCTGCTCTCTTTTTCTCATCTTCTTCTCCTTCTTTCCCATCGCCTGGCTTGCCACAGGTTTGCCTGCTGTCTCTAAAAGTAGCAGCAGCAGCAGCCCAGACTGACAGCAGCTCATTGGCTAATTTGTATCACATGCAGCCTGGTCCCAGACGCTCCGGATGGCTTTACCATATTGACTGGAGAAGTGGCGCAAGTGAAGTTAGACACTGTAGACGGACAACATGCTGTACTTTAGAAATGTTTTAAATCAGGTTGGGTCCGGATTAGCCAGTAGGTGGTTCTGGATCCGTACCGCGGTCCGTTAATCCGTGACTTCTGTTAAAGATGTTCAAGATTGGCCAGGTTTTCAGTGTAGTCCTGTTTCTCTGACTGTGACTAACTGGATGTGCTCGTCTTCCTGGCTGTGTGTTTCCTGGATGGGGCCGCCTGTGGAGCTGGACAGTTACCTTTTGTATCTCTGCTTCTGTCTCCTTGAACCCCAGTCAGTCTCGGCAGATGGCCGCTCACACTGAGCCTGGTTAGGTATCCTTATCAGGCTTCAATAATTTTCTGCACTGTCCATCAAACCTCAAACATAACCCTGTCACAGACAACATGCTTAAAACATGCAGTGCAAAAAATTTATTCTGAATCAATTGTTCTGTAAATAAGTTTATTTCCCTTTGATTTGATCAAGCTAAGTGAGACAATTTATGAGACAATCTTAAGGAAGCACGGTCTAAGTATTATTCCAACATTATCAACAGCTGTCCGGGAAATTCCAAACAGCTTTTCTCGACAATAAAACATCTCCTTCATCCCAATCAACAAACTGAGGATGAGGATTCGACTTAAAAATGCAATCCGTTTCTCTCATTCTTCAAAAACAAAGTTAATTCTCTTAGATCTCAGCTCCACAGCCTTCCTGATCTTCGGCTGCCATCTACCCTTGTACACCATGGGTCCATGAGCTGCTTTGATGAAGTTGCAAAGAGTGAAGTGGAGAACATCCTCAAGAAAATGAAGCCTTCATCTTGTGCCCTGGATCCCTGCCCCTCATCACTCATAAAATCTAATCATGCCGAAATAAGTCCGTTAATCACACAAATAATAAACAAATCACTGAAATCTGGTCATGTTCCATTACCTCTTAAAACAGCTATCATTAAACCTCTTCTAAAGAAATCTACCCTGGATCAAGATATTCTTTCCAATTACCGCCCAATTTCACATCTTCCTTTTCTGTCAAAAGTGCTGGAAAAAGCTGTTGCCGCTCAGCTGCAGCTTCATCTAGAACAAAACTCCCTGTACGAGAAATTTCAGTCTGGGTTTCGTTCTGCTCACAGCACTGAGACCGCTTTGCTGAGAGTTACTAATGACATCTAGATGGCAGCTGATGCTGGGTCTACATCTCTCCTTGACCTAACTGCAGCCTTTGACACTGTGGACCATAACTTCCTACTACACCGTCTTCATGTGGAGGTCGGTCTCTGTGACACCGTTCTGGACTGGTTTAAATCTTTTCTCTCCAATCGGCTGGAATGTGTTAGCCTCGGCAAGGCCAAGTCCCAGGCTGTCTCTGTCTCCTGTGGTGTCCCACAGGGGTCAGTATTAGGGCCCCTGCTGTTTTCCCTTTACATGCTGCCTTTGGGTCAAATCATTAATCGATATAACATCTCCTTTCACTGCTATGCCGACGATATACAACTTCATATTAGAACTGGAGCATCATCACCATCTTCACTTAATGCTTTCACTACCTGCCTGGAGGAGATAAGGAAGTGGATGACTCAGAATTTCCTTCAGTTAAACTGCTCCAAAACTGAGGCCATGCTGATCGGAACACCTCACCAGGTTCAATCTTCAACTATGACGACTGTTTTCTTTTCTGGACAAGACATCCCCTTTTCCACCATAGTTACAAATCTTGGAGTTAGAATGGATTCTTAACTTACATTTGAAAATCACATTAAGCATCTGTCTAAAATCTGTTTCTTTCATCTTCGTAATATCTCCAAAATTCGTCCGTTTCTTTCTTTTTCTGATGCTGAGACTCTCGTTCATGCATTTGTCTCCTCCAGGTTAGACTACTGCAACTCTCTGTTTGTTGGAATCCATAAAAAACATCTTCAGAAGCTCCAATACATTCAAACCAGCGCATCCAGGATTTTCTTGAGGGCCCGCAAATCTGCCCATATTACACGTATTCTGCATGACCTTCACTGGCTTCCCATCACCTGCAGAATTCAATACAAAATCACGCTCATCACCAATCAGTGTTTAAACGGATCCTCACCGGATTATCTGAAGGACCTTCTCACTCCACATTCATCCACCAGATCTCTTCGATCACAAGACTGCAACTTCCTTCACCTTCCTCGCTCCAGATTAAGGTCCATGGGAGATCGGGCTTTCGCTGTCGCTGCCCCCCCGTCTCTGGAACTCTCTCCCAGATCATCTGAGAGCTCCACAACCACTGAATAATTTTAAAAGAGGCTTGAAGACTTTTTTTATTTAAGCAAGCCTATTCTGCCTCCACATGATTTTTATGATGTTGATTTTTATCTTTGATTTTATTTGCACTGTGTAGCACTTTGAGATTTTTGTTAATGAAAAGTGCGGTACAAATTGGATTTATTATTATTATTAATTTTCCAACAGAATAAGATTATTTTAATTTAAAATAAGAAAAAACTTTTTTAAAGTGCATAATATCCAATGATCCTATTTTTAAAAACAAAACTACTAATGCCATTGACCGACCACCATAATTATCTGCCTAAATTAGGGATAAACTTATTTTGAATTGTTTATTTTCTTAGATCAGTTTTTGCAGCATTATACTAAATCAAATTCTTATATGCTGACATAACAGACCATATGTGATTGTTAATTTCAACCATATTTCGCCTTTATATTTTACATAAATTATTTATATATTAGACTGCTTTATTCTTACTATGACAGCATCACAGTTTTCATTGGTTAGATCAGGGGTTTGCAACTCTTAGCACACCTAATATACTAAACAATGTGCTATTTTTGCTGTTTTTTCTTTTCATTATCCACCCTGGTAAATTTCAACCAGCCGTATTTTCCGCATCCTCAGATAACGGCTTGAACATCGCTCTCCATTTTCTCCATCTTTATTTGGCCGTGTGCTGCTGCATGATGAGGCTTGTTCATTGATGTTTTCTAGCAGGAAAGCAGAGGTTATTTTATATCTTGTTCCCACATGTACTTTTTCATTTATTCATGTACAAAACAAAAACAGATTCCGCTGTCGATATTAAACTTTAGCTTGCTGCACTCATTGAAAGCAACATCACAAAATAATGTGATCTCATTAAGATCTTGGAGTTGCATCATGTTCTATAATTATGACAATTTTTGACTTTATAGTAGATTTATCTTGTTTCCAGACCTTCTTCGGCATTATCAGAAATCCTTACAAATGTGGGTCCAGAACGTTATCCTGTTTTCCTTTGATTTTATCAAGCTAAGTGACACAATTTACCAACAGAATAAGATCATTTTCTTTAAATTAAGAAAAAAACTCATATAAACTCAGATTTCATCTTTACGTTTTACGTTTCGCCTTTACTTTAACACGGCGGGGATTTATCCAGAGCGAGACATGTGGTAACACCTAAACCACCAGAGCAAAGAGTACCTGACTGCTGCGAGATGGAGATTTAGGTTTTTTTGTTGTAATTTTTTGACAGTACTGCATTCCAGACTCTGCAAAAACACGTTACGGTACAAGCAGAGCGCCAACATTCACTCATGCCCTGAACCAAATGGATGGCTTCTGTCACAGCTTGTAGCCAAAGGTGTGTATGATTCAGCTGATGCGCATTAATGATTCAGCCAGGCTACGATCTCATCCGGGATTTGGATCACCTGAGGCAGACTTTCTGACTTTAAATGGAATTTAATCATGTAAGAAATCCAGAGTTCCAGTTTCTAAGGAAAACACATTTTAAATAAAATCACAAGCTCTAAATCTGAATTGATGTAATAAAATGAGTGTAAACATAAAGCTAGGTAACAAACACTCCACCTGAGGAGGGAGGCTGTTTGTGGATGTTGGCTTTAAATCCAGCAGTCCAACGACTAGATTCAGGTTTGTGTTCAAAATAACGGGTAAAAAAGAAGAGTCGCTTCCTGTTTAAACATGGCCTCCTATTCCCTGCAGACAGTAAAACTGTACAACTTTTATCAGGAACATCGCATAGAGAGAAATTCAAATTAAAAAGTTGCATCCGACTCATTTATTTCCTTACAAACAATGCGTATGTAGAAGTGTAAAAAATATAGGATACCTGAAAAACGTTCACTATGTCACAAAAAAGAAAATGTTTGCAGACAGACAGAGAAAGCCTGACGACATTTAACTACAACAATCGAGAAAAAAAACACTTTCAGATATTTCAACCAGTCTGTTTAGGACTTTAAGTGGTATTAAATAATCAGCTGTATCCCTCATATAAAAACATCTTTTGACAAACTGTGCATCAGATATAGAGATGTCACCACTAGACTTTGGCTTGGTGATGATTTGGGTTAGTCCTTGTTCAGCAGAAGCTCTGCTCCTATAGTCCAATAGTTCACTGCTTTGCTTTCTTTAAGATGGTTCCCACTGCAGAGATGACCGTAGTCTTTGTGCCGCTAGCTGTGGTGGTCACCGACACGACTGCAGGGAGCGTCGCTGTAGTGGTGATGAGGGTGGGCTGAGCCAGGGTGACGGGGATGGCCGAGTCCCACTTGCTTTTCCTCTTCTGGGCGTCTGCTGAGGAGATAAAACACAGAATAGGAGATGGCAGAATAAGCTCCGAGACAGAACTGAAATGGGTTTGAGAAGGAAACTTGTTAAACTGCCTTTTACAGCTGCTTTTTGTATCTCTGCTTCTGTCTCTTTGAACCCCAGTCGGCCTCGGCAGATGGCCGCTCACACTGAGCCTGGTTCTGCTGGAGGTTTCTTCCTGTTAAAAGGGAGTTTTTCCTCTCCACTGTCGCTACAAGCATGCTTAGTGTGGGGGATTGTATTTGAGTCAATGAGTCAATGCAATCAACTGGTTTTCCTTAGATAGAAAACTTTGTATCAATTTGACTGTATGATCTGGTTGAACTGTAAAGTGCCTTGAGATGACATGTGTTGTGAATTTGGCGCTATATAAATAAATTGAATTGAATTGAACTGTCTTGAGGGTCAAAAAGTTTAACCAATGTCTTGTGTGCTCAAAATCTATTTGGTTTTTCATTAAAGCCTCGAGTTCAGAACAATTCCCTCTTTGCTGTCATGCCAACAGGACAGAAAACCTCTGTACGGGGATGCATCGGTGGTGGCGCCCTTAAAGCAGGAAGTGTTTTTATTCATGTACATGTTATTAAAGGGGAACGCCGTATTTTTACGCTGGGACCTTGATTTTAGGTTATTCCATCATGTTCTACTCACCCATATGAGTTTTGTGTCATTTGGAGCCGTTCTGAAGATATTCTGTTAGGTTATATCCAAGTAACGTCTTCCTATGGGCAACGACTTGAAGTCACAAACTAAACTGTTCATAATTTATTCTTTATGGTACGCCAGCATTCATAACATGTAGGCAAATCACTGTCCCCCAGACATCCGCGGTTATATTTTTTATATTTATATTTTTTTAAACCAAAGCGGAGTGTGTATGACGTCATCCGCGCGCGCCGGCTACCATTCCTTTATCATGTCCGCTGAACTGCTGCTAATTTTCCTCACATGCCTGGAAGATGTCTAGTGCTACTACCACAGATGATCTCGCTCTCAAAATGGAATTGAACGATTCAGATTATCTAGCCGAATGAATAGAAGGGGTAGAGCGTAGCCGGCTGTGGCCTGGGCTGCCTGTCACAACTCTAGTCCGGCGCAGATTTTGCATCTGATCCTAATGTTGAAACATTAACAAATAAAACCTCTAGAGACAGCTTATGATTTGGACTAATATCAACAGACTGAACAATAGAAATTACTCTTGGGTTTTTAAAAAAGGCTTTGAAATAGTTGGAAACCCCTCATTAGGTACGTTAGTATCGCATTGTGACGGAAATGCTACGTTCACAACTAAAGCAGCAAAGGCAGCAGGAGCAGATAGTTTACATGCATAGTCAATGGTTGACGCATATCAAGGCACAGCAAAATGTCCTGCAGCGCGTCTGAGCAGCTGAAGGTGTGCGTCGTGAACTTCTGAGCATCTGACGTGCGGGACATGCTGCAAAAGCAGCTGCTGCTTGAGTTGGAAAACATTGAACTTTTGCTGCTCGACGCGCCACATCAACCAATCAGAGAAGCTGATCTAGGAGCTGGCAGGGAGACAAACACATAACTGCTGATGCAGATCACTATGATCACTCCTCTGAATCAAGTTTATTAACGCCTAAATTAACTTAAAATGCAGAAATCTGCCGGCAAAACGTGTTCACTTTTATTATCCATGTGCCTGCAGTTTAGATTACATATATGAAAAACGCCTTTCAGCTGCCACGGCAAACCGCGAAGAGATGAACGGGCCAGAGACTGCTGTTCAATGGGACTACTAGTGACAGTGCACCACCGGTATGTGGGGGTCTGAGCTGCCCTGACAGCGAAATAATATTTGAAGGCAGGATGGTAATCTGGATGAACTGACTGCACATATGAAGTTTTAAGGTAGACTTCCTCACTGAAATCATATTAAAACTACTTTTTACCCGATCACAGCAAATATTACCGGTAACAATGCTTCAGCTTCGCATCAGGACTAAACTTGTACAGGCATCAAAAATGAAACCATCTTTGGTTAGGTTGCAGCAGCGATCCTTACCGGTGGCTGTGGTGGTGCTGCTGCTACTGGTCGTGGAGGCGGTTGTGCTGGAGGCGTTGGTGCCTTTCTTAGTTCCTGTGACGAACTCGATCTAGAGAAAAGAAAAACAGAAAAGAAGCTCAGGCTTAAGGTCAGAACACATCAAATCTGATTTTGCGTCTGATCTGACAAAATAATCGTGTCAGACGAGGTCCTGGCTTTTAGCGCTCATTGACAGTCAATGGGGTTGATCACACCCGACCCGATTTTATGCGACGGACTTGTGTAGATCAGACTGAGATAGACCCCAGATCCATTTTAGTCGGACTACAGCAATTCAGAAGCAATTTCATGGATCTGACCGGAAGATGCGGTTACAAGGTAAAACACATCCGCTTTGGCGGAAAATACAAAATAAAATCTAATCGCACTGGGAAAGAGTCCATTTGGAGTCACACAGAGATACACAGCAAGCAGGACAGACTCGTGCAAAAACGATCAATGAAACATTAAAAACCCAATACTTTACCCATGATAGGAGTTCAGGAGGACAGAAAAGGGATAAAGTAGAGATCCTCTTTCAGCCTCACAAAAAAAAAGCTAAATTTATCCAAAAAAAAAAAAAACTTCAGGAGAAAAAACTAAGCCTCACAAAAAACGAAATAACGAGGGACAGACAGAGCAGGTAAGCGCGGCGTATTGCTCACCTCTTTATGAAAAAAAGAAAAAAAAAACTCAACTTTCCAGATCTCTCTTTGAGAATCACCTCTGCCTCAGTCAGCATAGAAACCGTCCCACAGCGTTTATTGCTGTTTTGGTTTTTTCTTTAGATGTAAATCTCATAATTTTTTTCATATACCTTTTATCTGTTCTAATAATAATTCTAATAATAACTTTTCATCGTCTGGCCAAGTCAAATGTGGGATTTTTTTTTTATTGTGTATAGCACAGGGACATACCGTATTTTCACGACTATAAGGCGCACTTAAACGTCTTTTTTTTCCCTCAAAATGTGCGGTGCGCCCTATGGTGCGGTGCACCCTATGTGTGTTGTAACTGCGACTTTTGAGACCACCTCATTGAGGAGATGATGAAAGAGTGGCTGAATGTAAGGAGACCAGGTGTTTTTTTTCCACTCATCACCATCGCTGTTAATCTGTAACTCCATGCGTGCCCATCTCACAGCTGATGTGAAAAACATGGGGAAACAAATTAACGCTGTGCTCGCTGTTCAACCGCTCGACATCGGTGTGAACCGGACCCAGCAGGTGCAGCAGAAGCAGCGTGTTTACATGCAAAGTCAATGGTTGACGCGCGTATAGGTGCAGCAAAAGGTCCTGCAGCGCGTTTTGAGCAGCAGGAGCGTTTAAGCATCTGACGCACCGCCAACGCGCTGCTGCTGCTCGAGATGGAAAAATTGAAGTTTTGCTGCTGGACGCATCAACCAATCAGAGAAGCTGATCTGGGAGCTGACAGCGAGACAGACACAGCGCTCTGATGACATATGATATTAACGCAAATGGAAAAGGCTGGATGGATGAAGAGATGATGAAAGCGTAGCTGAGGCAGGTGTAGCCTATGTGAGGAGACCAGGTGGTTTTTTCCACGCATCACCATCGCTGCGTGCCCATCTCACAGCCGATGTGAAAAAAAGGTGAATCAAATGAACGCTGTGCTCGCTGTTATCCCGGGGGTCTGACAAAGGAACTTCAACCGCTCGACATCGGTGTGAAGCGGCCGTTCAAAGTAAGGCTGCGAGCGGCGTGGGAGCGATGGATGACAGACTGAGACCACAGTTTCAGGATAAGTGGAAGGCAGCGCCAGGCAAGTTACGCCACAGTTTGCGGATGGATTGTAGATGCTTGGACTAACGTGTCTGCTAGCTCTGTTGTTCCAGCTTTCGCAAAAGCCGGCATCATTTCTGAGGAGCCGCGCGGCACGGAAAGTGACTGACAGCGAAGAAGGGGAAATTGGCATGTCTGATTTAGCGCAGCTGTTTTATTCAGAAACAGAGGATGATGACTTTGATGGGTTTGATTAATACTTTGTAATAAATACATGAATAAAGCACAATTATACTCAGTTTTGCTCCCGCTCTATTTTTCTACCTGAAAACTTAATTCAACAGCAGCCTCTGGGCGGGTCTCCTCCTCTTCACCGCGGCGGCTGGCAGGTGTTTTTTCATCTAAATAATCTAAATCTTGCAGCTATATTTGCTGTGATCAGTGGGAATAAAGTAGTTTTAATATGTTTTTAAGTGAGAAAGTCAGTTCATCCAGATTATCTATTTCTTTCGGAGGCGCTCAGACCCCCACATACCAGCGGTGCACCGACAGTAGAAATCCTTTCATCAGCAGCCTCTAGGCTGGGCAGCCTCCGGGTTCATGCAGTGGCTGGCAGGTGTTTTTCATCTAAATAATTTAAACTGCAGGCACCCATAAAAGCGAACATATTCCGTCAGCAGGTTTCAGGATTTTAAGTTAATTTAGGAGTGATCACACAACGCTGTATTTTTAAATACACAGTAGAGCTATTTAAAGGTAGTAGAGGACTTGTACCTGTATATAAAAAACGCGCCCTATAGTCCGGTGTGCCTTATGTGTGTGTTAAATACAGAAATGGGACACATCACTGAGACTGCGCCTTTTAGTACGGTGTGCCTTATGGTCGTGAAAATACGGTAAGTGGAAAAAAACAATTGCAGATCTGCTCACCCTGCCTAGTCGTAGTCTCTCTATACACAGTCAGTGTGACATGGAAAAAAATCAGATTAGAGATTAAAAAGTCGTACGTAGCCGGTGTGTTCAGGCCTAAAGTGTCTGGAGGGCTTAGATCACACATTTCATCAAATCCACAGGTTCCTCTGTATTCTTACTTCTCTAGAAACTCTCTTTCAAAGCCATTTTTTCCACCTTAGGTGGAGTCATTCCTCCCTTGGCTGGAAGTTTAAACTTGTTTGAACATTTATTGATGATTCTGCAGCACTTTTCCACAGGAACGATACCCATCCACTGCCTCCACTCATCACTTACGGGAAGGTTCTACTCCAACAACATCACCAAGAAAAAAAAAGGAAAAAATAAAGATCTTAGAGAGTACAGCCAAGCTGCAGAGCTGTGCAGGGTTGAGCTGTTATGACAGCTCAAATTGGCAAAAGTGAGTGGTGTGCTTCAGAGGAAGATCGTTAAGTAAAAATGAAGAGCAGCTGGTGGAGACTTGCCCCTGACAGCGCATTTCTCCTCCTCCTTTCTTTGGTAACCTCACCTTAGTTCGCTCCTTCTTGGCCTTCTCCAACTTGTCCATCTCCACTTTCTGAGCTTTGGCTGGAAGGAGAAAACAAGCAGTCAGCTTTAGTGGGAACAAACACAGAAGAAGACGGTGGGCGGCATCTTACCCAGAGCCTCATAATAGGAGTCTTCTGACCAGCCGTGTGGATCAAACATGTCTTTGGGGTAGTTGGTCCCCAGTTCATCGATTCCACAGAACTGAATGAGCTTTTCGTAAATACTGAAAGAAAAGCAGAGAAGTGGGTTTAGGGTTCTGCTAATTAACTTAATGTGCAAAACAAGTGCATCTGATATGAAGTGTGAGGGCGTGTGCCTCGCTGGCATGTGCTCTGCAGCCGAGCTGCATACCTCGGGTTTCTAAACTCCTTTTTTTTCTGAATGTGGCTGTTTGTGTCAAAGTCTCCGTGGATTCTCCTCTCGTACAGCTTGAAGATCTTCTCCTGTTTCCAAAACAAAGCAAGTCCGTGAACGGAGAGGCAGACTGGGATCTGCAGATGCTGCATTAGGCTGGATGTAAAATTAAAAAGAACCTGATCAGGAACATATTAAAGTGTACAGACTACCTGTTCACTGTGCAACATCATTTTCCAACCAAGCTATGAAACATAACAACCTGATAGCTCACCGTCAGGCCCCAAGGATATGGGTGCTTAAATATATTGTTATATTTAATAAAGATTAGAAATATATTGTTTTAAAAATCTATTTTATTCACCAAAATTTTGAGCATAACAAACACAAATATGGCTAAAAAAAGTAAACATCAAGGCAAGTTTAATACGGCTAAATAAAGATTAATTTGATGCTTTGCTGAAAGTTAGTGATGATCTTATGGAAATAAAAGTTAAAGTCATAGGGAAGCGGCTGTTCCAACCGTTGCATTTCTGAATTCTTACGAGTGAATAAAGTGAATGTGATTGGCCGTTTATCAAAGGGGCGGGATTGTTGTGGCAGAAGGTTCGCAGGCAAGTCTGATTTTGACCGGTTTCCATGAAGCATCTTGCTAACCAGTTAGCAACTTAGTGCTAGTAGGTTCCAATGGGAAATAACATTGGGACCAAGTAGCACTAAATTGGTGACTTAGAAACGACAGCAGAAACATGCAAGAGGAGGAGAGTTTAGTGTCGGAGGTCGTGGATGAGTCTCCTCTGTCATACATTTTTATTTAGAGGAGGAAAGTGGGGATAAAGGTGTCGTGGAAGAGGATGCCAGGGTGGCAGAAGCTTGGTTTGGTGTAGAAGGCTTACAGCCGTACATGTTTGAGCCCTTGCCTCGCAACGCTGCCAGTTCTGTTAGCTCTACGCCTGCTGAAGACACAGACGTCCATCCCTGTGAACACTGGGATGGAACTCAATGGTAAAGTAAATTATTCTGATTTCAACCGTTGCGTATATTAGCTGCGACATATGAATCAAGATGCTATGACTGAAAAAAATTGATTGACAGATGACCGTTGATATAGGATTGGCCGAATTTAGGTGTATGATCTGACATATAAATAAATGGCCTGTAAAAGATAACGAAAAAAAACAAACATTTTAAGACAGGATTTTCTTTAAAAATAAAAATAGAAATTTTCTAAATTTTGAGACTAAATGGTCTGATAAACAGTACAGTTATATACATGTTTAAGCCAGAATGATTTGACGTTTAAATATGACTTCCCTACGACTTTAAAGAATCATAACTGCAGTGAGATATAAATACATTGTTGATAAATAGTGGTAATCGGTTCGGAGAGGATTATAATTTTAATTCCAACATCATGATAAAATCTCATCATGTCCTTGGGCTTTAGAGCATGTCATTGTTTTACTCTTTCAAACCGTTTTGTTGTTTTTATAGGATTTTATAACCTTGATATGTACAGCTCCCTGTGGCAGCAGGGGTCTAGAAGTGGAGAACCCTTTTTGCTCATTAAACAAAATCATTGTCACCCTAAAAGATGCCGTCATCTGAATACAGTTAATGAAGGTAATAGAGATGGGAACTTGGTACTACTTTACTTTACTGGGCATCAGACTCCATCTTGTATGTTTTAAGGCCGTGGTTCTAAAAACCTTAAACCCTTTCTTCAGTCTTTGCCTCAAACAGAGAAGATGAAGGATGTTGTTAAGGGGATATATGGATGGATATGTTCAGTAATGCAGGAGCAGTACAGCCAGAGGTGAGCTCTGGTACTGCCGCCCCCATTCATGCTGTGACCCTTGGTGACGCATGTTAGCTTAACCAACCAGAGCAGCTGAAATGAGCTAAACGGGCAGATTCATGCTCATAGATGCCATGAGGTTTAATTAATTATCATAACGTCAGCTTTTTTTGTACATTTTACTAAACTGGACTAATCAGCTAAAGCTTTGCATCATATCAGAGATGTTTATATACTTATTTATTAATGTAATAAAATCAATCAAAAGTTAGTTTATTTTTCTAGCGCCTGTATGGCCTCTCCCTTCTCTCATTCATTTCTTTATATTGGAGGTGTTTTAAGGTGCAGTCATGGACAACCTGTTATTTACCAAATCCAGTCAGAGCATAACGTCCTGTATGTGTCCTGAAGGCAGAAGAGGCAAGAAGGCTGTTCAGGTGAATCATAACATGTTCATCAGACAGGTGGGGGAGTGTCAGCCCTCTGGCCACAAAGTTTGCTGAACTCTTTCAGAGTCAGCTGTGTGTCCTGACCTGCCTTGACTCCACGCAGGGAAGGAAAGTGGAGAGGAGCAAAAGGCAGCAGTTTGGAAAGGCAGAACCAGAGCAGAGGTGACTGAGGAGACCACAGCTTTAATTAAAGGGACGCCAAGAATTCATGTCAACACTGACATTTATTTCTGTTCCTAGTAGGGAGCGATTTAAGCTGCAGATCTTCTCATTTGCTGCTTTTTAAGCAGCTTTTGTAAACCTTCCAGGTTTGATAAACATCCTCTGAAGGAACCACTGGTGGATTCTGTAGGGAGCAGGTTTAGCTTCTCACTATCTAACAGGACATTTAGTCTGAAAACATGTTTATTTGGCATTTTAAAAGGAGCCCACAGACTAGTAAGGATCCTCTTAAACTAAACTTAGACAGCCACACCCTAACCCCCCCACTCCACACTGTAGCAGCAGGATTTGATGTTTTTTGTGTCGTGTTTGATGCTCTGGGGGCGGGGTACCTGTAGATGACTCGAGCAGCGTCCGGCAGGTTCGGGGGGGATTCTGATTTGATCTGGGGACATGTTCCTCACTTTCTCTGAAAAAAGCGCTGAAAAAGACAAACAAAAGGTGAAACCTCCAACGTTTCAGCTTGTTTTCACATGCAGGAGCATTAACCAGGTAACCAGTCTCAGAAAGGGGGGGAAACAAAAAGGGAAGGTGGTAATACGGAGTGGATGTGGGTTAAACTATCAGCAGAGGGGGATTTACAGCACGGTGTGGTATGATGAGCGCACAGGAGGGGCTGCTGTTGGGACTTGTTTGGGAAAAGGGAGGCTCCTCTCCCTCCTTTTGGACCTGTCCCTTGTTTTGCTTTTCTGGCATTTTTCAGTGTCACCACATCTCAATCACATGGAGCCTTTACTCAGCCCCATCAGGCACCATGCAGATGTGCTTTAGGTGAATGTCGGCCTGTAAAAGCAGAAGTCTGCGGTTGCTGACATTTGCTGAGGAACAGAGACAGGCTAAAACTTGACTCAACACGAGAATAACATTTTGAAAGGCAACTTGGTCTCTTGCGAACATTTATCATCAGAAAAGATTGGAGGAAAATTCCACTCAAACACTCAGCTTTCAATTAAATGAAAAGTTGCACTTGAAGCCAATTTTCATAACTTTCCCTTCCTGTAATTTATTGTTACGACCAAACGGCTCAGAAACCCTCAGCCTCCAATATTTGATCTGGGTATGGAGATATAGGCTGCATTTCAACTGGAAAACTTTCCTTTTGTAATTTATTTACCCCTGCTTTGAAGTTCTGCTAATCTTCCACAGCCTCTTAGGTTTAAAAACCCTTAAGAGTGAAGTAACTTTGCATGTATGTGACTCAGCTCTGGGTTTACATTGGTTTACTTTAAGATGTGGTGAGAAGGAAGGTTAGCGGGGCATCAAAACATAAGAATCAAAATCAGCCGTCCTCTCCCAGTTATTTTTACTGTATGATTCTAAAATATTTTTATTTTTATGCAACGATGGGAGCTATAACAATGCTATCTATGCTGCAGTCTCTTATTTTGACATTTGAAGCTAATATTCAACGTTAAATATAAGATTAAGACGTTTTATATTTTGATAAGATTTTTTTTTTTTTTGCTGAAGCTGCTTTCATTCACTTCAGTTTCAGCCAAAGAAAACAAAACATATTCAATGCCTTACTATTAAAGGTTTTGGAACTTAAGTCATATCAATGTCATTTAAACAGTATTTAAACACATTTATTATAATTAAAGAAAACAGATTTATATATGAATTTAGTTCCATTATTGCTGCAAACAAAGAACACATTTTATAAATGGAAAACCAAAAAAAAAACAATCCAGAAATTAAACTTTAAAAAACTTTGTAATAAAAAAATAAAGGTCATAAATGCAACTTTGCTGTTCTCTCAGATTTTACTGAGAATAAAAGTAATTTTCATGTTGCTGATGAAGGTTCTCAGTCATCCAGGTCATAGTCATTACGTAAAAATTCAAATATCCAGTGGATATTTTTTGAATTTTTTTGAATTTTTACGGAATAATTTTCATGTTCTATTATTATTTTTTTTTCTTCAAATTTCTCTTTTTTACACTTTAGAATAGCATTCACTCTCTGGCTGTGTTCGATTTCAGCGATTGCGTCCCCCGACCTACATTGAGTCATTTGTAGGCCGGAAGAGTTCGGTAAAAATGTTGCTGACGTCCACACAGACCAATAGAAATCCATCTTTATTCTTTATTCTAGATTAGAGCCCGCCCCCACAGCCTTAAAATGTAATTGCAAATGAAGGAAACTCATGAAACTCAATCTGATAAGGAGAAGTAAAAAAAGATTTTTTTTAAATATAAAATTTGTAAAAAAAAAAATTGAAAATAATTTGAATTAATTAAATTATCAAATTTAGTAAAAAATAAATACATAAAACTGAAAAAATATAGTTTGAAAATCTGTTTAAATAAAAAATTTTAATATAAATCTTCACAAAAATTTAATTTGAAAATAATTAATTATGAATAGAAGAATAATGAATAGAATTTGAACAAAATACATTTGGGAAAACATTACAGTTACTCCCCAAACTTTTGTTTTTAATAAGTTTACAACATTTTATTGCTGTCATGCCTTTTTTTAATTTCCATGAACAAAATGTGTTCTTTGCTTGCAGCAATATTTGTACTGTATCTTCACTCCATAGATTTAAAGATAACTTGCCAGCTAGATTGAATCTAAAACAAAAACTAGCTGGCAGGTATTTAAGCAGCCAAAAAGACAGATTTTTTTCCTCCTGCTGGTAGAATCTCATAGTAATAACCTGGGACATCCATCTGTCTGTTACGTTTCCAAACAAGATGGTTTCTAAACTCATCCTATTAAACATTTAATAACGTGAAGAAAATACCAAACTTATTTTCGCAACGAAAACATCTTTATTTTTAATTAAAACATAAGCATAGAAACACAAGTAAAAAGAATCAAAACTATTGCCTTTTAGCATCAACAAAAGCCTGACACAACAGGCCTGATGAGTCAGGCATTAGGGTGGTGGCCTGGTGTTTCATTAAACACAGATAGGCACTTTGCAGCGCATCTGAAAAGAGACTTAATATGGTGAAAACCTGCTAATCCTCTACAGACAAGCAGGGAAACTGCAGCCTTGCTGAAATATCTTCCCAAAGAATCTACACAAACTCTGTTGCTTCACTTCAGCAGAATTATTATCAATTATGCAAAACAAATGTAATAAATAACCAGCGGCGACTGGAAAAATGACTGGTTTACAGCAGAGGCACATTAAGCAGACTGCAAAATACAGAGACAAGATTGTAGTTCGCTTCCAAATGAGAATTTGTCTTCTAGAAAGAAAGAAGCGATCTGTGCCCTAAGGGCCATTCTTGGACAATGTCTGTCTCTTCAGCAGACAAAGACCAGACTTCAGCTTGGTGACGGGGGGCTTCTGGCCAAAAACACTGACATTTACTGATGGAAAGGACTGCTCCATTGCTGGCCTATCAAAGATCCAATCTAAGACCGTTACCTTCCTCTACATCGGACCAATATACCGTATATAATATATATAATATTTTTCATTTAGACCTTGGGGCTAATTCTGATTTATTTAAAATCAAAGTAAAAAGCGACAACAATATGTCTATGATTAGCATTAAATGTGCTGTAATTCATGGTCTGCAGTGAGTCATGAAGGAGAAAAGGTTCACAGTAAGGCTGGTGAATAAAACGCCGCTCCCTGCATCAGTCACATCCGGTCTGATGTGAAACATTCATCCCCACCTCTGCGGTAAAATCCTTATTCATCAGTTAAAGGTAAGTTTTCATAATCCTGCTTCCCAGCTGGTTAACAGCCCTTCACTAAAACCTGGTCTAGTTAATGACTGATCTATTAAATGCATCTACAGCCAACAGACATGAAAAGTCCTAATATCAGCCTAATAACATTAACCTCTCAGACCTAATTCTCTGAATGCACAAACCCTCACTAAACTAAAAGTTTTTTTTTATTTATTTATGACATGTTAAAATGCACAAAATTCAATTTAATAGACTGATCTTAGGTAAGACAAACAAATGAATTTGAAGCTTAAGGAAAACTGCATTAGAAATATGTAATATAAGTGACATGTAGGTTTAGGAAACAGGATCTCTTTATCATTTTGCAGAATTACTTTAAAAGGTTGATTTAATTACACATTAAAGGTGTGTGCCACTAAGGAAAAGGACCTGAATATATCAAATTCAACAAAACTTCATAAAAAGCAGGAAAAATCTGTTTCTTTTAGTACAACAATGATTCAAACTGCTACAAAAATGAAGCTAAAAACTGTCTTTTGTTCCTCTTACATATAGCTGAAGGATTCTAATGACTGTGACAGAGATTGCTTAAAGCAATTTCCTTTTCAGGCAGAGTTTTATATTCAAAGCAAATTTAGCAAGAGTTTTTACACAGTAACAGTGTCATTGTGCATCATGAATCATATTTCTAAACATAAAGAGTTTCCTCACTCAGTCTTTTTGAAGCTCCAGCCACGAGTTTAAAAAATCTAACTCAGTTTGGACTAAATGGGAAGTTATGGTTCCAGGTAAAGCAGATGTCAGCGCTTCAGCATGCCGACACAATCTGGCCAATGTTCCCAGCTTCATCAGACCAATTTGGGGGGGAATTCTCTTTCCTGTCCCTTTGTGATGGCTCAACATTAGCCTGATAAACCAGACGTGTACATGGCAAGTCAGAGTGGAAAGGCCTGATTTCAAAACAGGGACTATCGGAGTTAGAGGAAATAGTTAAGAACCAATCAGATAACTCTAAATGTTAAGGAAAATGTATTTGTTAAAAAAAAACAACCCTAAAAACTCTAGCAGCAGCCAGTTAGACTGGAGCCTTACCAGACTGGTCCGACTAGCAAAGGTAAGTTATGCTTGTCTGAGTCCCACATCAGTGTCTGACCCTACAAAAGGGCTTCTGGAAAAACTGAGCAACATTCTCATAGAAAAAACATCCTTAAGTGTTGCATAAAAATTATTCCCTGAAGAGTTGAAGCAGTGACAGTCTCCCAAGGGTGCGGTGGCATAATACCATGCAGCTCAAGTTTAAGTGTGTGAAGGCAGACCAGGCAATAACGTGCATCATATCCCACCATAACTTGTGCCATTATTGAGAATTATGACCTTGTTTATTACTTTATTCGTCTGAATTATGGAGCACTTACCAACAAGCTCATTGGGGTCCTTCTTCTCAGCTTCTGATGCCTGTAATAAAAGAAAGAAAGGGGGGGGGACCCCATTGTACATTCAGATGTTAATTAAGTAAATAAAAAAAATAAGACTCCATAATAACTACATTGTTTGCAGGGAAATATGAACAGAAGAGGAAATGTCAGTCTAAACAGTTAGGATCAATTACTAAACAATTAGAGCTAGTGAAAAAAAAAGAAAACAAAAACAAAAGCTCTATGTGTGGACCAAAACAAATCCCAGAACGACCCCGCCCCATCACAGCCCACTATGAACCGTTTCTAGGAGCCAAGTACAGATTGTAAATATGTTTAGTTTCCAAAGAAAGCCTCGTCTCAGCCACAGGAGTCGTCCTCCACAATCTCTAAAATATGCCCTGTGCTGTGCCAGCACCCTGAAGGTAATCCAGGTTCAGCACAAGAGTGCTGTTATTCACAGGAATTGAACCATCACCTAGCAACCATGCCGGCACATCAAATAATTGTCCACACCGCAAGAAAGGAGGAGGACAAAGTTCAGCGGATCGCTGGCAATACTCCAAACGCAAAACACGGAGACGGCGAGTTGTTTCTAATTCATCAGCCGCTGTTTGACATTCAGCTCCCATTTAACTGGACTTCACACCAACGTTCACTCAGTCACAGCAAAGCAAACCCATAAGGTTTCTAACCTAAACAAAACCCTTCACTTGGCAGAAGAATGAGCAATTCTAATCAATTATAACACATTTTACCAATTCTTTTTTTAAATAACTATATATTGGAGAAAAAAAAAAGGAGTTTCCATAAAATTGAGCGTCAAAAGCATATGTGACAGTTTCAAGCTACAATCGGAGAAAGATATTCTAAAGTAGGGCTGGGCGATATAGAAAAAAAGCTTATCGATAAAAAAAATGCATATTGATCGATATCGATAATTATTGAAAAGATTTGAAACCATATTTTATGTGCAGCTCTGCCTAGACTTTTTACAATATTGCTAAATGATTTAATTTTAATAAAAAATACAAACACAGACTTCAAATGAAATCTTTATTTAACCAACTTTTTTTAACCATAACAGAATTGTTTTAAAGAAAAATAACTTAAGAGACCTGGGTTATGTTATAAAAAACTGACAAAGAATAAACTAAAGTGACCGGAAAAGTGACCAAAATAAATATAACAAATAAATAAATGCCCTGAATATTTTCCCGAAATTCACGAAGATTCCTCGGAGGAGAGCCGCGCCGGGGCCTACACATCTCGTACTCCTGCGGCTGTGAGCGGCTGAGATGATAGAAAAAAAAAAAAAAAGTTGGTTGTGTTACCAGACTTCGTTTTCACTGGTTCCCTACACATTTTCCAGATGACTGTGGTTTGTTTTTTGTCCGACTTGCCATGACCGAAATACTGCCAAACTGGCGAACTACAAAAACCTTTCTTTGAAACAATTTCCTCCGCCTCTCCTTGCTGCACATCTTCATGTGCTCTGTGTTGTGGTTTGAGAGGGCGGCGCTTGGTGACGGCATGCCTGGTTCCGCGATTGTGATTGGTTGGGAGGAAGTAGTGACTAGCATAAACCTACAAGCTAGGCTACAATGAGAAGGAAGGAAAACTGCGTTTCTTTTTTATCGAACTTTTATCGACCCTCTTTTTTTCTATTGCGCCACACGTCTATCGATCGATATATATCGTTATTGAATTATCGCCCAGCCCTATTCTAAAGTACTTTAGATGCCATGGCAACATACTTTTTGTAAAATGATCAGAGCTGATGGATCACAACATGCAATAAGACACATTTATTTAGCCTACTGTTTTCACCAAGGCAGGCAGAAATAGAATGTCCCAAGCAAAGGTAGACGAACGTACACTAACCAAGATCATTGTTAACAGAATCGATAATGAATCAAATCGTTTCACAGAATCGATAAGGGAATAGGAATCATGAAAATCTTATCAATTCCCAACCTTATATGTACATCCTTTTTCGTAGTATGCACTTTTAATCAAGTATTAATTAAGTATCTCTGGTCTCGACAGGTGAACTCAGTCTGGCAGCTTGTGACGGGGATATCTAAACAGATAGCATTAGCTTGCTAGCTTCTTTGTTTCAGGTTTAGCTATTTTTAAGTCGCTCTCAGTCATCAATGTTGGAATGTTAGCTTATAGCACTAGCACAGCTAGCATCATTCATCTGTTTGTTAAGCCATTTTTCCAACTACCTTAAATAGAAAATTGCTCCCATCCTTTGGTTTTTTTCTTTTTGGCTACGGCTTATATTTCGGACATTTTACCCAACATGTTAACAGAGCTTTAAACACCCAGCAGTAGCTTATGTTTTGGGTCCGCTGAGCTCCTGCAGGGGGGGAAACTCCAGTACTGCTAGGTTTGACAATATGAGCAAAAGGCTTCAGTTTGAATGGTTACATTTTTTGAAGTACTGCTTAAAATCGATTAAAATGACACCAGCAAACAAATGTTTAAAAGAAGCAGAACTTTGCTGTAAAGATGGTAGAAAACGTAGGTTTTCTGTCTGGTTTCATCATCATTTTGCCTACAGAATCAAAAACATAACATTTGTTTCGATTGTTTTTCAACAGTAATCTGTATCACTGAGATGATGATTTATTTTTTGGGGACCTGAATGGAAGTATCAAAAATGTTCCATTCAGTAATCGTAACAACACTGATGCACTGCAGGGTTGGTGTAACAATAGCCTCTTTCCCACTGAAAATACCGGGTCAATGAAAGTTATTTCAAGCTAGGGTCAACCCACTAACAATCAGCATTTGGCTCCATTCTCATTGGCAAAAAAAACTGGGTTTAACCCGTCACAGACAACATCTGTCCCTTGGTGGATGTGTGTCTTGTGACACAATCACTGTGGGTTAGTGTTGATGATGTCATCAGTGTGACATGTCAGGAAAGTAAACAATGGAGAGCACCATGTAAGGAAACCAAGGTGTTTTAAGTGTGCTTTATTGTTTCACTTTTATCTGTCTGAATCCCTCTTACCAACGCTGCGCCATGTTTATCGACTGCAAACAGAGTTGTTTGGCCTTGTTAGATCAGACGCGACTGGTACGGTGTGTTCACGTCAGTGCATTGCGTTCAATGGTGTCACGTAAGTTAGCAGGTCGACTCAGCTCTGGTGTTCCCACAGCATTACGATCAGAGCCGAGGTGATTTTAACACGGGTCGCTTGCCGAGGCGTTTGTCCCAGGTAGACTTGCGTCAATGAGCTGTTCCCACTTCCACTAAAATCCGACTGTTTCTGTGTTTAAACAGGTTTTCCGACTAATGAAACCCTTTGTGGTCATTTTTTGTGAAAAGAGACACAAGTCAACCATTTTTGTTGGCAATTACGTAATAAAAAAATAAAATCGGAAGTAAAGGATGTAAGACACTATGTAAAATGACATTATTTCTAAACCATGTTGTTGTTCTTGTAAGAGAGCAAGACATATAACAGGAAGGCTACGTTAGAATGTCGTTTGCTTTCCTAAAACGTTAAACCCAGTTTATTATTGGCAAACCTGTTGAATAAGACACTTTGGTAGCTTAAAAAAAAAAAAACAGATCTAAGTAACAGGTTGACTCTCTGAACAGGTAAGTTAAATAGACAGATGTTTTACTAATGCTGGCTGCTAGTTAGTAACAACAGGTCACTGATGATAAAAGTAAATAACCTTATTTTAAAGACTGTAATATTTTAAAATTAATTCAATGATTAACAGCAATCCTACATGTTTCCTGTGAGTGAAAGTAATAGTTAAGTTTTGGATCAGCTGAGCGAGATTCCAGAGGAGAATCTGTTGGAGATGGTGTCCTGTAATTATACAGCCCATTAAGTCCAGGGACCCCAAAGGGGTTTATGCTGCATTCAGCTATTCATGCACATATTCCCACACTGATGGTGGTGAGCAGCATTGTAGCTAAAGATGCCCTCAGGCAGACTGGCAGAAGCAAGCCTGCCTTATAATCGGTGCCACCAACAGCAGGCAAGGCATAAGTGTGTTCTCCTAGGACACGACTGAAGCGACAATAGATAAAATATCAGTATTTAATTATTTTTATTGGAAGATAATCAACTAGACTGACTTTAATTTCAAGAATCAAGTAAATGTTGATTCTTTAGATTTAGAATTGATTCTTTCTGATCCAATCCGATCTGATCTCAAATTGGATTGCTGGTATTAAAACCTTTTTTATCCGTTAGATGAATAAAATAACTGTAGTCATGCAATACATTGGAGCCTGTAGAATATTAACATTCAACAGCAAAGAATAGAGTATTAGTAGGTAGTGGTGGATGTAAGGACAGTGGAAAAGGCTTTTTTTTTTAAATCAATCTTTGCTGGTATGCATTGATCAATTCAGAATTGCAAAAATTTATATTTTTTAACACAGCCCTACTGTTGAGAACACTTAAACGCAAACCCTCTGTTGTTAAAAACAGACACCATTTCATAGGAGAAATAGTGTTCAACACATATATTAATAGTTTGTCGGCACTTTAGCTGAATCCTTATCAAGTAATTGAGCGCCAAATCTCAAAAAGAGGAATGTAATTCTGGTTAAATTTAAAATGAAAATAAATTAACAGAAAGGCAAACAAGGAACCAAAAGAACTGATCAGTTAAAGGCCAAGGCTTTTTAACCGACCGATAATTGGCTCAGTCTCCTTCTTAATCACTGGATCAGTTTGACTGACTTAACTTAGAGCATAAAAGCTTAACAGGTATTTACATTATTTAATGTTTACTTTGTACGCCGCCATCTCAGTGTAGGAGCTATGATGGAGAAAGCCAACCCTATAGGTAGCAGAAGAAGCATTTATGAACACTTTAGTAAGAGATCCTTAGGTTCCCCTCCATCAGCTGTTGCAACAAACCCAACAAAACACAAACAAAAAAACCTGCACGGCTATAGAACAAAGCCAATTTCATGGTGAATCTTACTGTTAAATCAACATTTATTTAGTGCGTGTAATGCTGATATTGGGGATGTCCTGATCCGATAGAAACACCGTCTCCATAGCTTTTATTGTTGACGGTTTTTCTCAGTTTAGGTAACATAAACATTTCTTTATTTTTTTTTTACTTCCACACAACAATTAAATAAGTAATAAAAGTATGTGTGATTCATGCGGATATTGCATCAGGTCAATATCTAATAACTGGTGTATTTGGACATCACTAGTTTCATGTAATAGAAGACATAATACCTATATTCTGCCTTCAGGTGCCAAGTAGAGTCATCCAACCATTTTGGGTAAAATCAGCTGCTTTGATGTTGACAATCACTGCTTGTTAGTTTAACGAGCCGCAAACGGTCACAGTGGGCTCTCATTTGTCAACAGGTAAATGAGCAAACTCCACATCTCTTTCACTGGCTAAACTGGTCAGACAACTTTTGATCTTACTCCATTACACGTCGTTTTATTTCAAGAAACAAATGTAAAGGTAGAGGGCTTTCAATAGGGTTTATATTTTCCAAAAAATGAGGTCAAACATATATTTATTGAATGCTTTCCCATTGTTGAGAACACAAGAACACCACAGTTCACTGATATATATAGTTATAGACAGATGCCTGCCTTTTGTGAATTATTTATAAAGGGCTCAAAAACATTAAGGTATAAAATATGATGAATAACAGTCGATACCAATGCCAACATCAATATATCATGCATCCCTAGTACAGACATAACTTTACTTCCATCCATGCATGGCTTCCCTTTAAGCTACATTAGTGATTATCCTCCTTCAAAATCATTTATACACTGATTTTTATTATTTTAATTCTTGTAGGTTTCTCATATTTTAATTTTAAGTCTGTTTCCTGTGAGTCTGTCTGTCTCTGGTTTGGCTGGCACAGCTGTTTCTGAGTCTTGTTAAATTAAGAAAGACAAAAAGATATGTTGAATTTTATTATAGCATTGCATATTTTTTCTTGTAAACTTGGGGATATATTTAACTGCATGTTGCATATCCCAGTAAATCTGTTTTACCTTTAAATCTGCAGCTGTCCCTAATTGTTTCTCTGCTCTGCTTAAAAACAGATTTATGAACCCATATAATGATGCCAGAGAAACTAATTTTCTAGAAGCTCTGCAGTCTGATTCTAATTAATTTTAATCTGTAGCCACTGAGTGCTGCTGTGTCTCTCCTCCTCCACGTGGATACTCTGTACGCAGTGAATAGCGACCCCAAATAATATTATGTCCCAAAGAGACAGATCCGATGATATGAGGTTGGACTCGAAAGGAAAAAAAACACAGACTGTAAAAGGCTGTGAACACATTAGCTGCACCCAACCCCAGTAACTGTTGGCTAAAGTAAATCAGCTGAAAGGGGGGAAAAAAACAGAAATTATTGGCGGAGACTGTCCCTCCATGCCAAAGTTGGTGGGGACATGTCAACACCAGTCCTTCAGAAAGTTACGCCTCTGGTTCCCGTGATGGGATGAAAATGTTCTGTATTTTCACGTACGGTCCAAAATCCAAAAGGTATCGTTGTAGCCTTAAAAGTGCAGTTAGAACAGGTAAAGACCAGCAGAGGCCTGACACGTGTATCTCTAGCCTCGTACTTCATTTTTACTGATACGGTAATATTTAAGAGTGGTTAAAGTGTGCAGCTAAAAGTCTAACCGTAGGGCAGGGCTGCTGATTCTGCTTAGACTTGTTTAGACGACACACCAGAGGCCTCCAAATAAACTGCCTTCCTGAGTTTCTTCTGGTGGTTTTAGAAAGGAAGAATATCATATGTGAGCAAAAACACAAACTTAAAATGTAAGGTTAGGAAATAATAAACATCTGTTTTCTATCCAAAAACCAACTTTGGTACAAAAATCATACATTCTTACCATTTGTAATGTTTTATCAGCAATATTTAAAATGAATGTTTTCAGTGAGGAAAAAGCAGCATGCGATAAAACAGTTGGGATTCAATAGTGAGCAGATTTTAAAGGTAAAAGTAGCCCTAATCATAAATATGTCACGCCAGCTATCAGCACCAATCTCTACATTACAATCCAAGAAGCCTTTAAAAGCTTCAAAACAAACAGATTAGGATCTAATGGTTCTGGAAAAAAATAAATAAAAACAGAAAAGAGCTGCTTCATGCATCCATTTGCAGAACGGTCTTCCATTTGCCCGTTTGACTTGATCCAACTCTGTTTTGGTTTCTTACGGACATATTCTAAAACTAGGGCTGGGCGATAATTCAATAACGATATATATCGATCGATAGACGTGTGGCGCAATAGAAAAAAAGAGGGTCGATAAAAGTTCGATAAAAAAGAAATGTAGTTTTCCTTCCTTCTCATTGTAGCCTATCATGTAGGTTTATGCTAGTCACTGCTTCCTCCCAACCAATCACAATTGCGGACCCAGGCACGCCGTCACCAAGCGCCGCCCTCTCAAACCACAACACAGAGCACATGAAGATGCAGCAAGGAGAGGCGGAGGAAATTGTTTCAAAGAAAGGTTTTTGTAGTTCGGCAGTCTGGCAGTATTTCGGTCATGGCAAGTCGGACCAAAAACAAACCACAGTCATCTGGAAAATGTGTCTGGAACCAGTGAAAACCAAGTCTGATAACACAACCAACTTTTTTTTATCATCTCAGCCGCTCACAGCCGCAGGAGTACTGCACAATATCTGATCTCAATGAACACAAAAAGTCTGGTGAAAAATGTATTCACACTCTGCTTGGGAACAACATGTTTGACCCGCCACACGGCTGGCAGACCTACGGCTTCCTGACAGAGACGGTTCTTCTGCATGGAGTCAACGCTAAAGACTAAAAATACTGTGAAAATATCGCAAAACTTATTAGTAAATATTCCCCAAGGCACAGCCCCAGCACCGTTTTCGCCCAAAAGCCAGATATTACTCCTCCTTCTGAGACCAGAAAGGCTTCACTGAGCCCAGAGGAGAAAGCAAATCACTGTCAGAGTGAGCACCCAGTGAGAAGCAGGCAGTAAAATTGTGAAACATTCAAACTGTTTCACAACAGAAATAAGCAGAGAAGACTTGGAGCCATCAGATAAGCAAACAGCCCTTCTCCTCCTGCAGACTAATAAGCAGAAATCATAACCAACACAAAACATGTTTTCTGCAGCTCTGAGCCATGAGGCACACATCAAACCAGATAAGATAAAAACAACACCAATGCATTAGCTTATCATCCTCTGCTGCAAAGAACAGTGGTGCTTCTGTGAGCAGCTTATAACATGTCAGCACAGGAAAGATGACCTCAGTTACCGTGATATTTACACTGATAGAGTCATCATCTTTGTCTCTTCACTGCACAGCAACTTTAACAGACAAAGGTTATCAGCCTCAGAGGGGCAGCAAGTTAAGATCAGGAACAATATTCATCTCAGTGACCTGAAGTCTCAATCCAGGCATACATAAGCCCACAGCGCCATCTAGTGATCGGAGCTGATTTCTAAACCAAATCTACTCCACCTCAGGTCGTTGTTCAAATACCTCCACATCATCTGCGTGCCTCCCCTCGTCTGATTCGTCCACATCCTATAAAAACAAAAACGCAGAGGGTTAACACTGTAATGGGGGGGGGGGGGGGGGGGGGGGGGGGGTCAGAGGGCAGCAGACCCCTTCCACATAACCTATAAAACACAAAAGAACCTAAAAAAATCTAAAACTTGATCTAATCTACAACAGGATGCTAATTTATAGGAAGGGACTAGATCAGTTAGTGTTGTGAACTGAGGAATCAGTTCTGTATGGGAATAATTTATTGAGCCACATTATAAAGAGTTGATGTTAAGAATAATTTTATTTAGCACAGAGAATCTGGGTCTTGATCAGATTTTAGTATTGTTGATCACCTATTAGCCAGGAAGTCATAAAGTCACATTATGGATGGATGAGTGGAGATCAACTGGTTCCTGATGTTGTTGCGGTACCGGGAATTTTTAATCGACACGATACCACGTAAATACAGGGTCAGTATCGCAGATATTGATACCATACCAATACTTTTTAACATTTAGGTTTTATGTATTTATTTATTTATTGGGGCAATGAGCAAAGTAGCTCGAGGTTTTCTTGCTCGTGTTGCTTTTTCATGTGCTTATATAAACTTGTTGTGTTTCCACTGCATTTAATAGGCTTTTTACAAACCATACAGAATGCCATTGTTTCATTTACATTATTAAAATAGTTGTATGTGTTGAGTGGAGAGAGCACTGAGTGGATGGGGCCAGGCTGAGCCTGCATGTTGAGCCGGTAACGAGAGGGGAGAGGGAAGCAGCAAAGCGATGTAACACAAGCGTGCAGACTGGTCAATCTGCTGCAGTTAGTGCGTACGGGAGAGAAGGAAAAGTAACGATTTTGTTTAACCAATAGTGTTTAGTATCTTTACCAAAGTTGGTATTGATACTATCGATCCTAGGATCGATTTCTCCCACCTCTAATACCGGCCTCTATTACTTTTATATTGTAGAATTTCAGAATAGACTTGATCAAGTAGTATTAATAAAACCGGGGAAACAAAGTCAACAACAAAAGGTAAGAAAGCAACGGAATAATGTAAAATTAACTAACGAGTTACAGAAACTTAGCGTAGCATAGTGTTCCTATCAGCATGAAAATACTGGAGATTTTAGAAGTCAGCTGATAAAATCCGATATTAGTTTTTAGGTTAATATCAGACCAATATCCGATATTAATATCGGATATTGGAGATAAATCGATACATCATAGTTGTTGTTTTGTTTTATTTTTGAATCAGTCGATTTATAAACATGTTTGCAGTCATCAGTTTATTCTGCAGCCATGCTTCAGATCAGAAGGCATGCATTGCCACTTCCTTCATTAGCTTTCCATCATTAGCATTTTCTTTGATAATTAATGCTTCTTTTTGTTTAAACTGAACATCCGTCATCATCGTGTCATTTTTAATTTAAAAGAGAAATAAATATAAACCTAAAGAATATGCTCTTAAAAATCTGCAGTACATTGGTCTGATTGGTTAGATAAAAAAAAAACTAGTTTTCCAAGAGATGGTGTCTTAGATAAATAAAAGATAAAATTATTACTCACTACCTTGAACCATAGAGCCACCTGTGCACCCAGTTTATTCAGAGGACGATTAAAAAAATTTACTGAAGTTTAAAAATATATAAAATCAATAATAAAAATACAACAAAACTTAAATGAAGATGCCTAAAAATCAACAAACTCTCTTCATGAGAAAACTGAGGATCTGTGTTACTTGACAAAAAGCAATACATGTGTTTGACTGAAAGGTGCAGACGTTGCCATGACGGTGGCTCTTCTTTCATTCATAAAGGTAGAATAACTAACCCATCACCAAATAATGACTATTTGATCGTTTCCAATAATATACAGTTTTCTATTCTGTGCAGGTTGTTCTTAAATCTTCCAGTCTTTCAAGTTTAGCATTTCCTACATATAATCACATTACTACTTATCCATATCTTAAGTAGGACTATAAGTAATAGGACTGGGAGATATGCCTTAAAATATAATATCTGATTTTTTTTTTCCAAACCAAATTTAAATCGGTCGATTTTTTTCCTCACTTAATTTACAGAGTAAAAAAAAAAAAAAAAAAAAAAAAGAAGACACATTTTTAAAAACTAGTTTTGTCCTCTGGACAGTTCAATTTAAAGAGCAAAGAAATTCAGGCTGTGAAACCTGCTTGTAAAATGATGTTTCACAGCAATCAAAATATAAAACTAAATGTTAGCAGCGAGTGGGATCACACAGTGAGCTGGTTTATCAGTAATAAGTTTACATCGAAGAACAAAAAGTACTGATGTCACTCTGAGCGGAGGAAGTCCAAAGACTGGATTGGTGAGAAAACCGAAATACAGATTTTCCAAAAATCAAATCTTCATAAACAAGAATGAAATTATTCAATAAATATGATTAATCATCTAACCCTACTTTTAAGAACAAGACCCATTACATGTGGTGGACTTTGCATAAGGAGCTGCTTTCTCATTCCTAACATGCCTTAAACCAAACGGAAAAACAACTGAAAGCTCGATGAAAGAAAACGGCAAGCTGTGCTAATCTGCTGTCTGTTTGGCACTCATTCAGAAGGAAGCATGTCAATTATACCAGGTTTCATGATTTCATCACAACGCAGCAGCAGACAGAGAAAAATAACCACAGTTAGTACAATTCCACCAACTAACAGCAGTGTTTTCTTTCTCAACACAAAAAAAACAAAAGGTACTCCACCCTTGCTTGGATGATGCTAAATCAGCCAAATAAATTAGGAAGTAAATTAGTTCATTCAAACAATCCTAAAATCATTAAACAGCTTCCAACATCTTAATCAAAATATGCAATTCTTTCAATGGATTAACAGGAAGGTTGGCCTGATTCATTCTGTAATATGACATGTAATTCATCATAACCAACTGGTATTTTCTTTTAAATAAATGCATTTAAAACATTGAACTTCTTTGAGTTTTCCATGCAATTCATTATTTTTTATTTTATGTTATAAAATCACAAGATTAACTTCATTTGATGTGAATAAAAGGAAAAAACTAACTTTTAACTAACTGCTCATTTTCTGATGGATTTAAAACATCGGTCTGTGTTAATGCACCTGGAGGGCATCTTTATTTCCTCTTTAACAGTCAATATTTGCACATTTTACTGTGAAACAAAGTCTACACAGATATTTAAATACGTCTGGTGAGGAATGTCTGCTGAACATTGCTGGTTACTTATCACAGATCTTCATGAATGAGATGCTGCAGCTTAGGGACATATTAATATCGGTACAGAAGGAGTAGTTAGGAAGACGTTTTGTTATACCATGCATTTACCTAACTTCCCAGAAATACCAAACTGTCTGCAGTCGATAAATGCATCAACCAAAATCAACATTGCAGACATAATTTGATGCAAAGACAGCAAAAACGTATTTCCTTTCTTTCCTCTATGGATTCAAATTACTACAGTCTTCATCAACAAACTGGAAATGCCCGTGTTTACGCTTATGCATTGCTTTTAAAACTGGAATCAGCAGATAAAATCTCAGTTCTTGTAGTATTGGGCTTCTGGAATAATATATTTACAAAGTGATGTTTTTCTACTACAGCTTAGGTTCAGTATTTGAAATTCCGGTAAAACAGCGGTTTACTAGATTATCGCTTCCTGTCATTACTCAATATTTATTTCTAGTTTCAGCCAGGATTCAGTCAGGATCCAAAGGAGACCTGTAGGGAGGAGCTCAGAGGTCAGATACTGACCGAGTTGCTATCCTGGCTGTCTTCATTTCCAGATGCTTTCTCTTCCACATCCTCGGTGCGGTTCAGGTCGTCCTCTCCATAGCCATAAACAAGGGCTACTCCTCGCCCCCCTGGACACAACGAAACAGGAAAGGTTCATCTGCAGCTTCCATTTTATAGGCCTTTTAACTCTGTTATATTTTAATAATCAGCCTCCCCTAAAAAATATTAATAATTATACTGGTATGGAGTTTTAAGAATGAGTGATTGGGTTAAGGAAATACATGATTTTAAAATAAAATTATGTTTAATCAATTCAAGTTTGTATATTCACAAATACCTCCATACTGATGCTCCGCAGAATCAGAAAAAAAAATACTTGTGATTCTATTAAAATTATGACAACATTACTGCATTTATCTCCCTTATTTATTTTCTTCTTTTTAATAGTCATCCCACTGTTCTTTACATGAGTATGGATCTTAGTAGTTAAGATGTAGGTCAATCCATCAAGTCGACCAACACTACTGGAATGATGAAGGACATTTGAAGTATCAAATATTGGTTTCAAGCATTTATCAAGCACAGTTATCAGCACTGACACTAATGATGTCCCTGCTATAATATTTAGTAATTAAAGTCACTTGATTTCATCTGTAAAACCTTAAAACACACCACCTAGGACAAAAGTGCTACTGGTTGGAATTATAGCAGTAAAGGTTTCTTCCAGCACATTTTGACCCCTTAAAAGTTATTGATTTTGAGCCCAAATATGTCATAAAACATGACTATTAATTAGAATAAACACAAACATGGGCACGAAGGGTGTTTTCTTTCAGACATTAGATGATTTTTCATATTAACAATGCTAAATTGAGCATAGCTATAATTATAGTGTAAGGTTTTAATATTTTACCTTGTTTTAAGGATTAGTTATTTAATTACCTAACATCGGTTTTTTATTTATTTATATATAATTATACTTAACTGTGCTTGAGATATATATATATATATATATATATATATATATATTTACCCATAAAATTTTAAAAATGTGCATTTTCTGACGGATATCTGGATTTCTACCACAATTAGTGAAACATTAATACTATATATTTTTAACAGGTTTTAATAAGTTCACATTGTCGTGTTCTCAAGCTTCCAATATCATTAGTAAGGACTTTGACAAAATAAATGAATGCAATGGGTATAATATAGTCTAAATATAGTGCTTAACCCGGTCAGACTGAGAAAAAAATTAAAGATCACCAACAGAAATCAAAATATCAACCAAAGAGTCAGAATAAACAATTACAATCCGGAAGAATGCAACGATTAAAAAAAACAACATAACGGCAGGCCGTCTAAAAAACTATAATCAGATTAAACAAACACATCAACAGAATTAAGGAAAACTAGGCTCTTAAAAACTAGCAAAGTAAACAATATCCATAAACTAAGTTCGGCTAAATGCAAATAGTTTAGTGATTGCCATGACCTGGGTAGCTGTTAAGCTAACGTTAGCCTACACTCAGATTCAGTCACTATTCTCTAATAAACATTAACTTTTATTCTCCTAACAGTTACAGTCCTTCTTAAATAAATAACATTGACCTGTATCTTCTTGTTCTTGGTCGGAGTCCGGCTCTGAATCGTCAGTATAATCCGCTAGAGACCAGATGAGATTCTTTTTACCGCTCGCCATTCCGTTCGTCGCATAAACGCAGACGTCTGACGGGCGCACGTTAACTACGTCACGAGGACTAGACGCGTCAACTGCGCAGTGAGCAATGCGCACAAACGTTGCAACTGTTCCAGTTGGCGATGTTGTCCTTCGTAAAGCATTTTAAATGTCATAATGTGAAAGAATATTTTATTATTAAATAAAAAAATCGATCTGTACACCAAATGTATGTGTTTGTACAGGATGGCTTTGGATGTTTAGCATTAAAGCTACATATAGTAACAGAGCAGATGACAATACAACCAGCCTACTTGAACTAAGATCATGAATAGTTAAAGCTTTGGCTCTAAAAAGAGAGGACACGAATTTACCATAAAATACATTTTATTTCAGTGGCTTATAAAAGATCAACAGTAATCACAACTTGATTTATTTTTATTTCCAAATTCTAATAGTAGACTTTAGGGATTTTTACCAAAGCATAAACAAAAATCAGTATATATCTGTGGATGTGCTTGAAGTCATCCTGCAACAAAGGAATATCCAGCAATGGCCTGTATTGATCCTCAAATGTCTGCCCATGACCTCTGCATAACTTCCCAGCTGGAAAAAAGAATCCACACGACATGATGCAGCCACCGCCTTGCTTATGAGTTAGGATCATCTTTTTATATGACAAAAGGAGTTCCATCTGACAGATAACTGGCTTTTGGTCTATTCATATTTTCTGGAATAAGTGCAAATAAAATACAATACAATAATAGTGAAATGTTTTTAAATGTTATTTGACAGAAAAAAAAAACATTACTTAGCCGCTATGTTCTCAGGCCTTTCTTTTTTTTTTTTTTTTTTTACAAAAATGCCTCTGCTGTGAAGATAGTCAGCCAAATTATTTTTAAGTGACATTCAGTTCAAGAAATATTTCAATGAAACTAAATCACTGCATTCTTCCCCTGTTTCCTCTTCTTTTGCCTCGGTTCCTTTGAGCCACAGCAGCATCCATATAGCAGAGCAAAGAGCACCAGTGAAAGAGTCCCCATTGCAAACAAGCCGATGACCACCAAACCGCCCAGCATCCATGGATCAAGCTGCAGACTGTACAGGAACCAGTCCACCCACTCGTCGGGTGAGCTTGTGGGCATCTGACTCTCAGGCAGACTGCAGAGGAGATAAATAAACCACACAGGAGATCAGAAAGAACGTCTGTTACTTACATATGTCTGCATACGCTTCAAAATGTTTTCAAATCTTGTCATATTACAAACAGAAGCTGGTTTTAGATGGATTTTTTGATAGACTGAAACTTATGTTTCCTCCTTTATTCCAATAGAAGTAAAATCTAGTTTGTCAAATTAAAATAGAAGCTGTGGGAAGCTGGTAACCGGATCTTTTATGTTTTTCCCTCAAAACTGGCTTTCTTTTTACATTTCTTCTATAAAGGCCAAATTTGTGGACAACATACGCTAACAGTTAAAATGTCTGCAAGTTTTTACACCTTAGCTGATAGGCAGATGAAGAAGGGGATTAAACAGAGAAATGACTTAAAGGTCTATCTAAATGGGAGGAGCAGCAGAGACCCATGTCTCAGGTGGGAAAGCTGCAAATCTGTTGTAAACACTTTTGTTTTTTTGAACATTCTTTATTTAAGATTATTAGGAATCCAGAACATATACACATGTATATTTATGCATGTACTTACATAGAGAAAAAAAAAAAAAAAACAAACGGGGGGGGGGTCTCAGCAAACACTTAAGTCCATTTTGGCAATTGACATTTAGAGGTTCTCATCGGCTCACATGAAAGAGAAATGTTTATATCCAGTGTCTTTCATTAAAAGAGAGAGACATGTCAAGGGGATTAGCAGTTTTAGCATCTTTATCAAAGTGGCCATCCAAAGTGGGAAATAGCTGGGGTCCAAACACTCAAAAAAAATTTAAATTTTTACATGAAGTTTTGCTGTTATCTTTTCCATGATATACACATTCTTCAATCTGTCTTGCCACTGTTGAAGGGTGGGAGGCAAAGGCTTGAGCCAAGACAAAGGTATCATTTTTCTTGCTACTAGTAGCAGAATCTGTAGTAACTGGACTTCCTTTTTCCCAATATCATCTCCTGGGGTCAAATCCAGTATATAATGCAATGGGTTCAGTGGTAACGTAAACTTGAGTATATTTTTAATTTCTATCTGAACCCCCTGCCAGAATGGAATCAGTACTGGGCAGTCCCAAAAAATGTGAGTGTGATCCCCAATCTGACTACAATTCCTCCAACACATATTTGTAGCATTTCTGTCGTATTTTGAAATACTGAAAGGTGTTTTGAAGAATCTCATTTTTAATTTCCAGTCAAATTCTTTCCAATTTGGACTGTGGGTGATCTTAAAACCTTTCTCACAAATCTCCTCCCACTCCTCATCTTCAATAACAATATTCATTTCAAGTTCCCACTTTTGTTTTATGTCTATAGAGCTGTCAGAGAAATGCATTTGTAAATGTTTATATAGATTAGATATGATCTTCCTCTTATTATTTTCCTCCACACATTTTATCAAAAACATTTCCAAAGGTGAAGTATTTTGTTTCAATTTAGGCCATTCTTTATGTGATAGAAGATAATCTCTTAATTGTAAATACTTATAGAAATCTTTTGAGCATAATCCATATTTGTCCTGTAATTACTTAAAGGTCTTAATATTTTCTCCACTGAATAACGGATTAATTGTTATTAATCCTTTCTGAGCCCATCTCTGGTAACCCGTATCTAGCTTGTTTGGAAAAAAGTCAGTAATCTTGGCTATTTTTATCATGCGTGATATAGTTAAAGGTGCTCCTATTTTCTTCCTCACTAGAGACCAGACTCTGTATGTACAGTTAATCCACTCATTTTCAATTTTTAAATCCTTCCAATTTTTTTCCCTCCATAAATAGCATCGCTTCAAGAGGTACCAGTGGGCAAGCATTGTTCTCCAGACCAATCCAGTTCGTCTCCTCATCCTGCACAAGCCACTGGACCACCGCGCTAAGTTGTGCTGCCCAGTAGTACAATTTCAAATTAGGCAAACCAAGGCCACCTTTTCTTCTTGGGCTTAACAGTAACTTCTGTCTGATTCTTGCTTTCCTCCTTTGCCAAATAAAGTTATTAATAATTTTATCTAAAATTTTAAAAGTGGAGGCAGGTATCCAAATAGGAAGTGCCTGAAATAGATACATTAATCGTGGGAGTATATTCATTCTCACTGTTTCTATTCTGCCCAAAAAGGACAGAGGGAGAATCTCCCATCTAGACAGGTCTGATTTTATTTGTGTGATTAAGCTACTAAAATTTCCATTAAATAGTTGTGAGGTTTGTGGTGTAATCGTCACACCCAAATACTTGAATCCCCTCTTGGACCAATTGAAGGTGACCTCTTTATCTAAATCTATAGGCCATTTTCCCACTAACATCATAGCTTCTGACTTGGTTTCATTCACTTTATAGCCGGAGATTTCTCCAAAGTCTTTTAAACTAGTCATAAGTCTAGGGATTGAGCACAGAGGATTAGAGATATACAAAATAATGTCATCAGCATATAGTGATATTTTATGAGTGACTCCACCTGCTGTTACTCCATGAATTCTAGGGTCTGTCCGTATTCTTTCTGCCAGGGGCTCAATGCTGATAGCAAATAGTAGAGGTGAAAGAGGACATCCCTGCCTAGTTCCTCTTTTTAAACCAAATTTCTTTGAGGAGTATCCATGTAAACACTTTTGTAAAGAGTGAAGAGGACTACAAATGGAAAACAGCTATTAGCTAATACTGGTGCAGAGCATCACTTCTCGTTTTGAGATCAATATTTTCTCTGCATTTTCCGTGTTTGTAAATAAAGGAAGAAAAAAGAAGAACAGCATTTTGGGTAAACACTGGTATAAACCCCTGTTTGCAGTTTGTTAAACACCATTTAGGGAACGGCAAACATGTGGAAGAAGATGCTCTGGTCAGATAAAACACAAAGTAATGTGTTTTGGATAAGATGCAGTAATTCTATGTCTGGTTAAAAATAAACTCTGCACATTATTCTGAATTTTACCTCAACATGGTGAAGCAAAGTGTTGGCAGCATTATGCAGTGGAAATATTTGTTTCAAGGAGCTGGTTAGAAATAATGGGTGTAGTAAAATGCAGGGTTATCCTGCAAGAAGAAACATCCAGAACTAAATCTGGGTATAATGGCATCAAATCAAAATTAGATTCTGTCATTTGGAAATGGATATACTTAATTACCATTAATAATCTGAATCTGATGGTCAACCAATGGGATGCACCTCAAAAGACATCTATCTACACTGAAAAACCCAGTTCTACAAATTACAATTCATTATTACTAGTGTTGCACTGATCCAGCACTAAAATGGTGGTATCGGTATCGGCGTGCACCAGCATAGAAGGCACTGATGCCATTTTGAGAGCAAAAAGTTTATTCAACTATTGTCACCCATTCCAGGTAGGCAGTATTAGTCTTTTTCTGCTTCACAAAGGTAGGCAGCAGCTTGACAAAGCCATGATGGCAATTATTTTATATCCAAGTACTATGCAGTTCTTCATATATAGACACACACATAAACTTCAAACAGTTGGTCTCGGTATTGTATTGGTACCGGCCGATACTGCACAGCCAAGTATCGTGTATCAGTACTGGGGTCAAAAAAGGGCATCAGCGCAACACTAATTATTACATATATTTTGGTTTAAACCCACTAAAACATTATTGATTCTTGCAAAACTGGTAAAAGTTCAAGCGGTGTTAACTTTTATGTATACCCTCATACGTTTGCTTTTAACTAAAATGCTCAAAATCTATAATGACGCAATACATTTCTTTATAGAATACATAAAAAAAAGAGGTTGTATTTAATAGGAATGTTTATATAACTTGCCACATTCCTTATTTAAACTCACCTCACCGCCATGTCCTGTTGAACGATCCAGTCACAGCTCACCTGCTTCCAATAAACCGTGTCTACAGGAGAAATGATGGACCCAGCAGCTGAAACCTTTCACACTAACCCCATATCCCAGTCTGCTGTTACTTTCAGCTCAGACGACTCATTCTGAACATCCAAATAGCTCCTGATCTGCTTTGGGGAGATTACAGTTGTCTTTGTATGTGGGTGCGACCTAGTAAAAACCACCGCTGCTGGTTAATGTTTAAACAAAGGAGGGGTAGTGTGATAAGGGAAGCACACAGTACACAGACAGTACTTCCCTGATGGAAATTTGGTCTGTCCCAAGAAATCCAAATTAGGACGTACAAATATTCTGCTTCTTAATCATTATTATTAACTTTTAAAGGTGAGTTTTTTTTAGCTACTGCTGTAAAAAAAAAAGAAAAAGAAATAGAGAGTAGAGTTTGTTTTGATGAAATATATGCAACATTTATTAAATTAGACTTAGAGGAACCAACTACAGCCACATAGAACACTATTTGTGTCAGCTCTATATATTTATATACAGAAATGTGTTATATTAAAATATAAACAGCTCAGGCTTTACCTCTGAGGAACAATTTGTAAAAAAGAAAGCTCTCAATGAGCCAGTAGATGGCGCTCTGTGTTTTCTCCAACTAAAATGGTCTCTTTATGACATTTTTCTCCCAATTCAAAAACAATAAAGTCAAATTTTTTGTTGGAATGTAACCTTTCCATGTTTCTTAGTCACAGTTAAATCAGTGAATATAAACTGGAAACAGAAGAACCGCAATTATAATACATCAGTATCTGTTTAACTGGAGGACAAAGCAGCTTTTACTGGGTCCTTTCATGTCCAAAACGCTGCCACACAGAGTTTCATTGTACTGCATTGCAATGCTTTTCCATGAGGCGGGCCACTCCATGGATTCATATGGATTCCGATGGCGCTGGTCCCTGGATGTTGCAGCAGTTTGGAAATCAGTCCTGCCAACGTCAGAGCGATGAGTCCCATGTTTTCTTCACTTTGTCCCATTTACATTACATTTGTAATGCCCAAATTATCCCTCCAAACAAACCAGTAACAAATATTGATTTCCACCTGTGATCTTTACTTAAGATTTTTCATCATGGAGGAGAAAAAAGGAGGGTTGGAGGCTTTGGGCTCTGCTTTTCTTTCACCCAATCAGACAGTCGACAGCGGCTGAACTCTTGAGCCCTGATATTTCTGCTTCCAGCAGCAGGAGTGGATGCAGGCGATCAAGATCAAAAAAAGGACTGTGGCTGGAACGACAAACAGGAGGCAGGAGAACAAATAGGGTCAAAATAGCAATAGACAACGATAAAAAAAAAAAAAAAGCATGTATGATATGTTAGAGAAAAAAAACAAGCTATCTGTGCAGCCTTGTCCTGTGAAGAACTTAAACATCTGCTAGTTTACTACTTTAGAGAACAAATCATGCTATGTAGGTTTAAATACGCACGGTCACCTCTGCAATGTTCTCAAATCTGTTATGTCAAAAAGGGTATGGCCCCATACAACAGATTTCTTATCTTTGCTTTTCTTTCACACCGCAATATTTTCTAAGGCCGGAATAAAACAGAACATTACACCAAAATAAAATGAAAAAGCATTTTTAATTTACTCTCTTACTTATAAATGGGGAAAAAATGCATCAACATGCAACCTGAGCTGAGCTGGAAAAGATGAAGCCCTCAAACCTTGTGGTTGTACCTCCCTGTAGAGTGCTGGAATGGTTTCAACCATTATTATCCATTTTAATAACACTTCTTTATAAGGAGATTATAAGTCAGTTTATTTGCTTGAATGTTCATCTAGTGAGTGATATTTTTGACAGATTTTTAGTAGTGTTACATCAGACTGGGGTCAGGGTGAGCACTGGATGCAAAGCCAATAGAAAGGAAGGTGCATCAATATGTGCCACCGCCAGACGGTTTGCTGTGTCTCCGAGCACAGGCTAAAGAGCATGGAGATGATTCAAGGAGATAAAATGTTACTCCGGGAGACGTGGGTCATTGGAGGACCTAAACCCATCAGCAGGACTGGTAGGTGGGGGAGAAAAATACTGATAACAGGTATAGAAGAGCTTTGTTTAGTTGGTTTTTGAAATGCCATCTGTGATTTAGGTCAAACCTACAGTATGTGGTTTAAACAGTTGTTAATTTAACTTTTAGCAAATCTGGTTTGCTGAAACATTTTGATTCATGGATGACAGGAAGACACGTCGTGGTAACAGCTGCAACGACTGTCCTCATTAATAAACAGATCAAATACCAGCATTTCTAACATTTGTTCATTAGTTTGTTACCGTATAATTCATCAGATTAGAGCGGGGACAGCTTTATGTACTAAGTATGTGTGTGTGTGTGTGTGTGTGTGTGTGTTCATACTTTTTAAACAACTGTGTCTTTATGTGTTTAGGATGATATATTTAATAGTTTCACTTTATACAAATACACATACATAAAAAAAAAAAGAAAAAAAAGATGCCCTTTACGTTTTTAAATGTAATTATTGGCATGTACATAAGTAGATAACGGGTTGCTTGTGGCAGTTTTATAGTTAATTGTAAATACAGCTGCATTTTTCACAACGCTTTTTTTTCTCTAAGAGTATATTTTGCATAATGAACAAATATACTGACAGCATACAAAAGAAAACTTGAGAGGCGTACAGGTTGTTATATTTTTCCTTTGTCACTAAAAGTGCTGTGTTTTATACAATTTGAAGCTTTGGCATCTGCAATAAGGCAAACTCATCTAGAATGAATAATTTATTGTCCTCTGATCAAAGATGTCTTACAAAATTGGAAAGAAAATCTTTGCTTTCTCCCAGCTTTTTTTCCCCAAGCTTTTATTGTAATTACACTGTCACAAATACAGAGATATGAAATGGACTCCCTGCATTTAACCCATCCCATTGGGGAGCAGTGGGCTGCCATTGTGCAGTGCCCAGGGAAAAGCCTGGGGGTTAAGGTTCTTTGCTTAGGGACACAGAGTGGCAGTCTGTGGGAGTGGAGCTCGCACTCAGAACCTCTGGATTCAAAGCGCACTGCCCTAACCACTAGGTTGCCATATCTAATAATAATAATAGTCTTTTTAATTATTGGTGAAAATTATATATTGTATTTTTCACATGTTGTAACATTCACCAAACAATGTCTCAACAGCTGACTCTGCATTTAGATTCAGATTGTGAAACATTTAAGCTCCTAAATAAGCTTTAAATGGTTTTGACTAACAACAGACTGATGTTAGTTTATAGTCCATTAAGTCGGTTTGTCTGACCCAAACCAACTCTGAGTAACAGAATCAAATGCAAAATCTCTCCCGCTTGACTCTCACAAAGACCTAAATAAATAGAGTGGTTTGAATTACTGCAATTTACTGCATCCTTTTGAGAAATAAAAGGGTAAATTTATATTGCAGGCAGACATAACAAAACAATCACCACAGAGGAAGATGTGGGACAAGCAGGTGCAGAGGAACAGTTTGTAGAGACTCTTGAAACAAACATATTTCATTAGTCCACGAATAAATAAGATAAACAGAAAATGAAATCCATCTGGGGGATTCCACTACTTTAAAGTAGTAGAAAGCTGCAGATGATCTGTGAGATGTAATGTTTAAGTATGTCTTTTGCCGTCAGGTGGATGTGGGAAGAGGGGCCTCAGGATGCCAAGCTTTGTTTTTTAACCGCAATCAATTGTTGTTTGTTTTTTACTTTCACTTTCTCAGTGACATTAGATGAAGCTGTCTGGTGATGAACAGCTTTTGTTTCCATCAAACAAAGTTGTCCTTCTGTTCCTAACAAATAACCTGTTCCATATCAGTATGCATATCCAGCACAATTCTTTCGCTGACTGGGATAAACTTCATCTACTTTAATAAAATAAATCAAACTTTTTAATTTTCTGTTTAATGCTTTATTCTATCTATTCTCAATAAATTGCATTTGGATCCGATGTCAGATGCAACTTACCGATAAAGAGGATAAGGACGGAGAAAGCTCCTTGGTCCAATGCACATGCTTGCGGAAGGCCCTGCAGCTTGGTCCACGCCTGACGAATAATTTCCATAAACTCTTCTTTAACCTCCATGATCTTCTCTGGATCCGGTCAGATAAAATGCAGAAATAACTTTGGTTTGGATTTAAAGTAAAAATCCTCCACTGAAAGATTACTCCTAAAAAAAGAAAACAAGAGGACATTGTAGATAAATATTCACTTAAAAGGAGCTCCACCCTGAACTACTTTAATTATAAGCATCCACCCTGGGAAGATTATGGGCTCCGCATCCCTAAATACCATAAGTTCCCTCTCATTACACACAAACCTCCTTTTTGAGTGGAACCACATGTCACCGGACTGAATAACGTCCTCTGCCCTCACTTGCTACGTTTCCACCCACACAGAGGAGAAGCCATGCTGGATGTTCAGCTCAGCTATAAACAGACAGAACTATTTAAGGTCTGACATTTCACGTGTGAAGCCTCACATCATCATCATCATCATCATCATCATCATCATCATCATCATCACTGGGGCAGCTGTGTGTGGGTGAGACCTCACCGGCTGATACAAGCCAGGATATAAGGACACAGCTGTGAAGTCATAACAGGACAGGACACCGGAGACTGTCGTCACCACAGATACATTCTCAATGGGCGGTTATGACAAGGGGGACTATTTATAAGATGACCTGATTTACACTGATCGTCTCAAATCACTGCACTGCAAAAAATCTGAATCTAGATAAGTCATTTTTTCTTAAAATAAGTGCATTTGTTCTTGGATTGAGGAGGTAAAAGAGACATTTTGCCAATGGAACAAGACAACTTACACTTAAAATAAGAAAACACAATTGCACTGTCTTATTTCAAGTGCATATTATCTAATTATCTTATTTTAAGAGTAAAATTACTCATTCCATTGGTAAACTTTCTCACTTACCTGCTCAAATTAAGGGTGAGTACACTCAATTTAAGAATTTTTTTACTTATTTCTAGATCGTTTTTGCAGTGTGATCAGTGCATTAAACAAAAAAAAAAAAAAAATTAGATCAAACTATTTAGTTTAATACATCGATTGATTGGTTGTTTATGCATATTTAAATACTGTTATTTTAAAGTAACTTAAAGCATGTATGTATATATAATTTATTTATCTTCTTTAACATGCCTCTTTTCACCTTTTGAAGCCTATCCTAAAACAGTATTTCATTGTCTGTGTCTACCTTATTTACTCTACTTTTATATTCTATTTATGTTCTGACCAGCTGTGTCACTGTGTGGAATGGAGGCTGCAGCGCCTTAGACTGGAAGAAAGCGAGGAGAGTGGTGAGAACAGCAGAGAAGATCATCAGGGCTCCTCTTCCCTCCATTAAAGACATTTAATCCCAGCCCATAACATCATCAATGACCCCTCACACTCCAACCATGGACTGTTCTCCCTGCTGCCCTCTGGGAAGAGGCCCAGCAGATTCTGCAACAGCTTCTTCCCCACCGCCATCACATTCCACAACAGTTTCTTCTCCACTGCCATTAGACTGCTGAATGTTTTGCAAAATGGGTAATTGTATTGTATTTTATTACATTTATTATATTTTATCATTATTAAAAAAAATGTTTGAACTGTAAATTTACAGTCATATGTTGATATTACTGTTTTTATATAAATGTTTTTACTATTTTTCAAGGCTGCACTTTTAAAAAAGATGAAATTGTCCAGAGAGCAGTATTAAACGAAATTTCTTTTTGTTTTACACTTGTGTAAACAAAATGACAAAATAAATATGTCTAAGTCTAATTATAATCTTTGTGTGTACTTCGTGTGGACATGTCTTTGTTACCCTGTGGAGACAATTTCCCAGAAACATGCTACATTTTGGGGACTTTTAGATACTTGTGGGGACCGATGACTGTTCTCCATGAGGAGAAGTACTGTTCTTGAAGTGGGGGTGGCATGTTTTAGTAGCGGTTAGGGTTAGGGCATGGAAATTAATGCAATATGAATGGAAGTCAATGGAAAGACCTCAGAGGGATAGTGTGAAACAAAATCCTTATTTAGGTTCACTTGGCTTTTGCTTGGTTATTGATATCATGGACTTAATTTTTCGGGGAGACATGGGGAGACATGTCCCTGCACTTTTTTAAACATCCATTTTGGTCGCCTGCTTGCTTTACTGTCCAAAAATGTTACACTACAGTACACAGACACTCGTCCAGCACTAGGACCAAGCAGAAAACTGCCACCCCCTAGCTCCTGATTGGCCCACCGTCTTTTCTTGTGTAATTGGCTGTCACCGCTGTCACTCCTTAGAAACTCACTTTAAAAACATCTGAAGCGCCACTCTATCAGGTCTGTGATTGGATGGTCAAACACACTGGAGTTAGTTATATTAAAAAAATATTTGCATCCCCCACACTTCTAAAATCAAAATTTCGTCCATGATTAATATACGATTTTACTGGGGATTTAATAATAAGGTTTATTGCCATAATGTAGGTCTGGGTTTAATAAAAATTGATTTTTTTTTTTTACGATTAAAGTTGGAGTATAAATCAGGATGTAACAATAAAGGTAATATCAGACTAACAATAAGTTCCTTAGAAGGAGGACCAACAGTCTGGTTTTGTTAGAAGCTACAAAGGAGAACGCCTTTAGGAGAAAGAGATGCTCTCCAATAGCTGGGTCTTTAAGGGTTTAAACATTGTTACAAAAATGTAAAAAATGAACACAGATAGAAATGTGCTTAACATTATTAACTGGCAAATAAATCACACGTTAGCAGAAAAAAGAAATAACACTTCCATGTAGCGTGCTCTGCAGAGATTTTAAAGATGCAATTTAAATAGAGCAGCTGCCTAAAACTTGTTTTATATTGATGCAACTGTACTGGTGGATATCGGGGCCAATATCGGTATTGGATCAGTGCATGTAGGCTTTTGGCTGATGATCCTTTAAAGACTGCAGTAACTGAGTCACACAGACCTATGATAAAGCATTCATATTAGAATTTCATTAATTGATGTGTTATGAGGTTGTCTTTAAAAGCAAGGGTTTCTAATTAGGTATGAAAAGTCTTTTGAGATTAAACAAGCGCAGCTCTTTTGTTTGGAAGGTTTCCAAAGAGAAATATATTTTTTCTCTCTAAACAGCATATAACAGCAGGACATTTACCAAAGAACATCTAAACAAAACACAAGAAGTCTGACACTTTAGCTTCTGGACATGAAGGACTGAGGCTGAGATACTTGGCTGTAATAGTGCCACGTTTGAAGATACCCAAACACATCAGTGTAAACAACATAGGCACAGTGGAGGAAGGGTGATCCTCTGGGCTTGTTTTGCAGTCAGAGGACTAAAGAATCTTCCAACATTTGACTCGACAAAAATAACCCTAACCCTACATTGTTATAGGTTCATATATAAGTCCCCTTATCTTCCAAGTTTCTTCCCTCCACTCAATTTTCTATGAAAATGCTCATGTGCAGCCCTCTGGACAACCAGATTCTTTAGTATTGACTTTGTTGTTTACTCTGGACTATCTCCTGGAAATCTGTCCAGTCAGCAGTCCTCCCCATGACTGTATCAGCGACTGACACATTTTAGAAGGAAGCCTTCAAATCTGTTTTAAGTGATGAGTTTTAAACATTATATTCTCTCTGTCCTTCTTTAATAATACAAGTTTCACTTCATAAGTGCTTTATGTCTTGCTCAGCTATTTTTAATACTAAATACCAACACATTTAATGATAGGAAATTAACTCTGGTAAGATAGTTTGTCTTAAAAATTATTAAAGATTTTTAAATAGTTAGTTCCTTACTTAATTATTACATTTTGTATTATTTTTAAAACATATATATATATATTTTTTTTGCTTATTTAAAACTAAAAGCAACAGGTAGATTACAGTACCCTTGAATCCTGCGCGCTGGCGTTGCTATGGGAACAGTTGCCACGTGTTGTGTTCAACGCCGTCGCTCTCTACACTTAATTAAACAGACCTAATGTCATTCCATGCCCAACCATTTAAATGTATTTTATGGAGCTTCTGTATGTGTTAAATTGAATGAAAGTAAACAGCGTTAAACTTGTTTTGCTAAAGTCAAACTGCTAAATAGGTTGAAAACTGTTTCTACCCATCGTCACCTGAAGGCATCATGCCTATAGTAAAAACTGCTTGCATCACCCTGCAGGGAGGATCTTTTTAGTAAGAAATGGTAAGCTGGTCTGATCTTCTCATTGAAATTTAATAACTTTTTGAGGTAGAGGTAAAAGATTCCTTCTTTTTTAACTTTTTTTGTTTTGTTTTTATTTATTTAATAAGTTTCTATTTAGCTGCAGTTAAAATGAAAATTAAATACTTAGGATATATGCTTCTAGATACTTAGAGGTGTGCTTGTTCAAACCGACCATTAACCTATAACCCATGTACTCAAAAGTATTTTGTAGATAGTTATCTCTTTTCACGACTGTGCACTAATTAGCTCATTGATATTAACTCCAACAAACCTCCCAATTCCTGCTGGAGAAAAGCATCTTCAAAGCATGATCAATTTTACATGTACTTTAAAAAGTTTTAACTTTGGTTTGTCATATAAGGCCAGACTGGAACCAACACGTACAATTCAAAACCTGTCATTGACATGTGTTTATGTTGCAGGTTTTTATCATTTCATCAGCTCAGAAAGTGGTTAAAAGACACCATTCTTTCAGTCCGGATGGAGATTTTTTTTCTCTTACCACAGTGACTATTTCGAAATGTTTGAAATGGTTTAGAAATGACATGCCAGTCTGAACGGTTCTTGGAAGAGTTGTCAACACTTAGAACAATGTGTGATTTAAGCTCTGATCCATTCAACTAGCCTGTTTTATTTCACATTCTACCATTAGATGTATTTATGCAGGGTGTGAATATGTTCAGGAATCTCAGTCCTCCAGCTGAGTAAGCTGTCCAAGGTATTTGTGACCTTCTTCATGCTGCTCTGTCCTCATATCTCTCCTATGTTATACTTCACCAGCAGCACAGACCCAAAACACCTTCTGAGGAGAAAATGTCACTAAGTATGAGGTTCGTTCCTATCTCAGGGTATGTGAGCAAGTTTACTTCTTATTGGAAAAAGTTTTGTGCAGTAAAAGTTGACATCTGAGAGAAAAGAAGAAAGAAAACACTTAAGAGTTTTTCTGTTTTTACCTCTATGGTGAATGTGTTCAGCTCTGTGGGATCCTCTGTTCTCTGACAGGAGAAATGAAGTTTAGTGTTGCTCATCACACTCTCCTCTCTGTCAGCTTCTTTCTGCAGGCCGCTGGTTCTCAACGTTTAGAGGTAATCCGACTCTTTCAGAGGACCAGCAGTTATTTACGTCTGACTGCTGCTCAGTTCGTTTTTTTCCCCTCCTCTCATTTGTGCACCTCCTCCTTCTCCTCCCTCTTGTTGGCCCCTTCAGACTCCTTCCCTTCTCTGGTGTTTATGTCGTCTCTCACTCCTCCTCACCCTCCGTCGGTGGGCACCAAACACTCATTCATAGATTTTTTTCTTTCCTCCTGTGCTCCCTCTGTGTTCCCACAGACCAGCTGTGGAAAGGGCCCCCTTTTTTTGTCAGTAGTTGCTGTGGGGATGGTCTCCTTCTAAAAGGAGCAGGCCCTGCTGGGTGTGTCTGTGTGTGTATGTCTCCCATCTGGTGTCTCACCAGCTGACACCCACATTTTTGAAGAGCTGTTGCATTAACATTTTCATGTTGATTCACCCATGTTTCCTGTATCGTTCCACGGAAACGTTGAAGTCAATGCATGTTCCTCCTCTTCTGTGCACAAGTATTCACAACAATTTCACTGCTGTTTTTTTCTCTTTACTGAGCTACACTGCTATAAATTTTAGTGGTGATTTTGGGGTGAAAAATAAACCCAGTGTAGATGATGCAAAAAATATAAAGATAAGGGACACATATTAAATAAACCACTCTGCTCATAATGTGGGAATGTTTTTCTGGTTGAAAACCTGTTAGAGGCTGCAAAAACAATCAAATAAAAATAAATAATGAGGTGAAGTTTTATCTTCCAGAAAGAAAACAACCTGAAACAGCTTGAAAGCACATTATTTGTCAGAATGGATAAGTCAGTTTTGGCTTATCTGGGTTATTGCTGGCACAGAAGCGCTTGTACTTCCTGTGGAGGATGAGGAGAGCCCACCTGCCCTAAATGAAGCCACAAATCATAACTCTGAACATACACAACACCAAACCAAATAGAACTCAACTCAAAAATGTTGTTCTACTGCATTTTTTTACCATATACATTTGTTTTTGCACTGCTCTGAACTTCCACATCAATGCCTTTTGCACCATCTCACTGCCACACTGTTTATACGCGATCAGTGCTGCACTTTATGAATGGAAATGTGCGGCTCATTCATTGTCTGAAAGCTGTACAAAACAAAATTTTGTTTTGTATGCACCGTGTAAACAAAATAACAATAAAAGTTGTCTAAGTCTAAGTGATTTGAGGGAGGCCATTTGTTCCATAATGATGTATGGTGGTGGCAGAATCATGCTAAGGGACTGGTGCTGTCATACAACCACGTTGGAAGCTAATAACAGTTGGTTTTGGAAATAGATGAAGCTAAATATGAGACAACTCTGGAAAAATATCCAAAGAGCCTGGACATTCGCAATAGATAATCAGAGGTTAGAGAGGGATGGCCTAGTCAAAGTCCAGATCTAAATCCAACTGCAAAGCCTTGGTAAGGTCTAAAGTTGTCTTTGCATAGTTTCTTTGTAATGAATCTGACTGAACTTGGCTGCAAAGAAGCATTTGCAAGCATGTTAGTAATTACATGTAAGGAGATGATCTCCAAAGACCTGCAGCAAGTTTCCATCAACCTCATGGGGATATTACTAAAATACTTCAGGTTTTGGGGAAGTGAAGTGACTAAATGTGAAAAGTAGGTGAAGAGGGGTGCTGTATCTGTTTGATCTGTTGGTTAACTGCTGTTATTTAATAAAATGGCTACTCTGGACCCAGACCCAGTTAGAGGCAGGTGTGGATGGAAAGCAGTTGAGTGGGTGTATGGAAAATATTTCCAGCTTTCTACGCTGAATCAATTCATCAGCATGGAGCCATTACTCACTTTCCAAAGCCGTATCAGAACAGAGCGAGGAAGTGTACGTTGAATACCGGTATATTTTTAAAAAGGTGATATCAGAGTTTCAGCTCCTCTGATGGAGAAACATGTCTTCTTTCCACTTCAGTAAATGCAAAAGCAATATGGCTCGAGGATTTTTATCCTGAAGGTTACAGCATCATGACACCTTTAAAAAAAAAAGATAATTCAGTTATGAGAAGAAGTTATAACTGCTATTGGGTAGTTTGCTGCAACTAGAAATAAATGTTTTACACCACTAAAAGGGGCTTTGGTAAGCTTCTCAATGCAGCATTGTTCTAATTTAGCCACACTAAAGGTTTTTCTAGTCAGAGTTTGGTTTAAAGTCACGTGTCATCATCCCCATCTGGTTTAAACCTTAAATGTAGCCTTTCCATACCATGAATTTTCACTTTTGTGGTAACTGAGTAGTTTTCAGGGGGTCTTGCTGAGGTGCTTTCGTCTGTTATCCCGCTGCAGTTAGAGGATTTTTTAACTAAAGGAGTAGAATCCATATTTTTAATCAGTTACAGCAAGTCAACCTGGTGATATTGTTCTTTTAGCCGTCTTTGTGTTGTGTTCTGTTTAATTCCTTAATTCTAAAAGCCTTGCATTAATCAGGCCTGATGGTGACGTCAGAGTCTTTCCATGAAAAAAAGCATGTATTTTTGATTTAACAAGGGGGCCTTTTTCACATATATTCATGTCTGCTTAGGAAGCTCTCCCCCAATTAATAGCACAGTCTTTTAGAAATGGATTTTTTTTTCAATTTAGTTTGTTAATCTTTTTAATTTTTTTCTCTTTTAATGAAGAAAATAATAAACAGCAGAAAACAGTAAATACAGGAAACACGTACAGCGCTGTAGGAGTCCTCCCTGATTTTCTGACCAAACGGGGTGTTCATGGTTAATATTCCAGGTTAACATTGAAAACCTGAGAGTGTTAAACAAACAGCAATGCAAAAACACCAATAAGGACATCTTCAGGAATTTAACTTCAGCGCGGAGAAGGATTGATAATCGATACCTGATGGAGTCACATGGAACAAAGGTCACCTTCACTAAACAAACCAATAGAAAACTGGATTCACCTTTAATCCTCAAACTCTTCAGAAATGCTTCTTTTACAGTACATTAATAATCATGCAATAACATTGTAATAGCATAGCAAGTTATACTACATTACTAGGTAAAAAGAAAAAAAAACTTTATGGAGAATTAGTTAGTTCAAGTCTTTAAATCAAGTCAAACTTCCTAGATTTTAAACAGTTATTACCAAGTTACCCATTCATTTCACCAACATCAATAAATTAATGTTATTATCTAGTAAAATGCTGTTTATTAGTTGACATATAACAGTAAATCAAACCTAGAAGACAGCAAGACAACCTTCTTAACTAAACTCTTATTTAGATGAAACTTGACTTCAGTTTTATAATGTTTTAGTCACTTGATCATTAGTTGCAATTTACTTTGTAAGCCTTTAGGTTAGGTAGGTGGTGGCCAATAATAGAAACCAAAAGTCTCCATCCTTACATAGTAACATACAGTTGTAATAATTACATGCAGGTAATTACCAAATACAGTTTGTCTTGTTACCAAGTAATATAGTGTGATTTTCTATGTTATTACCATTTTATTACATGGTTATTGGTGTACTGTAAAGGAAAACGTTACCAACTCTTCCAGGCTATTGGATGAATCTGGGATTAATCACCACATAAAACAGATAAATGAGGAAAAGCCGAAATCCTCAGTGAATCATCCATTGTAGTTTTTTATTCCAGATGCAACAGGGACTAAAAAACACACAATCATTGTGACAGTGTGTTGTTTTTCAGTTGTCATGATTGAACTCCAGAGTTTTTCACTACTTTTAATTTATTGTAGTTTTAAATATACAGAACATGAGTAATGAGTCGGATATGAACAAACTGATGCATAAAGATGATGTGCCTTATAAATTGTCAAAAGACATCAAAATAAACACTTGCTACCTATAAAGCGAAGCAGTTTTGAAAAAAAGAGGAAGTTAGACAGAGAGTAAAAACACAAGTATATTTATCTCCTCAAACCAGACAAGTTCTGCTTTATCACATTCTATGCAAAGTGCCTCTGTTAAAACCAATAAATTCTTGTTTAAAAAAATATATTATTTAATTTCTGGACAAACTTTTTAAGAAGTTAGTTCAATGCATCTTCTCATATTTTCAGAAAAAATACTTGAAACAAAGGTTAGCAGTAAAGTAAGTAAATATCATTCATCATTGCTTTCTTTCCCCAGCACATTTCTCTTCTCTGGGTCGGGTTAGTCTGTTTTGTTTTGTTACTTTAATTTTTTTTGTGAGAAAGGAAACAATGTTTATCAAAACGCCTAAAGGGAATAAAACAGTTTTTACAAATGTTTTCATCAAGCTTTCCTTTAAACTCAATGCCTCTGAGCCAATCTGATGGTAAAAACACCTGTTTGCTGTAAATACATCTGCAGTTATTTGAGGGGCATTGATTTACCATTTTACTCCATATTCTCCCTCGGTTTAAGCTGTGGACTTTGACTAGGCCATTCTAACCTGTAAGTGAGCTATGATCTAGGTCAGGGGTCTTCTTGCTTCTGCTTCGGCAAACGTTCAGAACTCATTTCCTCTAAAAATTTCACAGTTAGTGGGACTTAATGCCAACTTGTGTTACCTGTAAAAAGGTACCACATAAAATAGTGTTTATCCAGTTGAAGCAGTGTTGCAGATGTTAATGTCCCTGGTTAATTTGTGCTCCCATATTGAAGATCTCTGATCATTTGTTTCTCAGGCTGCATGTTTAGTTGTGTTGTCTTCAGCATCAGTCTGACTTCCTTTGATAATCCTACAGTTTTCAAAGGAAGTTTTTGCAATCTTACAGAATGTTGGAAACTGTAAATTATATACTGGCCTTATGTTTACATTTTATCACCGCTGTTAACAAAATCACAATAAAGTCTAAGTCGAAGTAAGTTTTTATTTTATTTTACCATATATTGAGCATCATCCAACTCCCAAACAGCTTCTCTTTTGCTGCAGAGGAAAACAGTTTTCACAGCTGGAAACGCCTTGCAGTTGGTTTACAGTTTTACGTTTTCTGTCACTTCCTGAGGGATATATTCCCATTTTGTTTGGAGATATTAGAGAAAATAAGGTTAGATTAAAATGGCTGTTATTTAATTTATGATTACGAACCACTTTTTGTTCCTCCAACAATTAATATTATAGTTTATGGCTGCAATGAGAACAATGTGGAAAAATTAAACAGTTTAAACATTTCTGGAAAGCTCTGTGTTTTCCATCGGTATCTGTTTGGTGAAAGTGAGCAAGTCTGTGTGTGATAGTCAGTGAAGGAACAGCAAATATTGCTGCTGTCACCATACAGACCATCCTTTGTAAATTAAAGATAACATTTCTCCTTCTAGGTAAAATAAAATGTGGATTAAGTC